AAGCCCCCCCTCTGTGTTGTCACTGTGTCTTCATGTTGCAGCTCGGTGTGACGATGATCAGCAAGCACAACGACGGCCTTCAGGAGCTGGCACTGGTGGGCTGCGGCAACATTCTCCAGTCCGGGCAGTCCCATCAGTCGTCAGAGGGCTATCTCCTGCCACCCTTCCTCACATCCCTCACCGACGTCGCCAATGGCCTCCCTGCGCTGCACACGTGCGGCCGGGCGCTCATCGCTCCAGCGCACGGCAGGGCGCTGCTGGTGTCGGCACACCATCGTGTGCTGCAGTCCAACCAGTCCAACATGACGTCGGGCCTGAACCGGCTTTCAGGGCTCACACGGCTGTCGGTGTCTCTCTTGCCGTTCGAGTCGCTGGGGCTGCTGGCACACGCTCCCAACCTCACTGGCACGGCACCATGAGCACAGCACCAGAGAGGACAGCTTGTCTGCCTGTCTGCAATGACTCTGCATTTCATTTCAATATTGGTGGTGGTGCAGTGTTGCACATGGAGGTCGGCTGCTCAGCCAACGACAGCTCATCGGCCAGCGTCAGTTCGCTCAGGGTGAGCAATTGAGGGTGGGTGGGGAGTCCAACGCAGGTGCCATTTTCTGCGCTGTGTTCGGCAGTGTGTGGCTGGGCTGCGGGTGCTGAAGGTGGTCTTCTCGTCGTGTCCGAGGGAACTGCAGGACATCGGCAGCCTGTCCAGCCTCAAGCAAATGCACACATGCCACATCAAGATCATGCAGCCACACGTGAGCCACCGCCAACATGGACACCACGACGGATGGATGACATTGGATGTGTGACTGCGTGTCTGTCTGTCTGTCCGTCTGTCTGCCATGTAGGCCACGCGTCGTCGGCCGACCCCTACCAATGTGTGTGTGGTGATGCAGCAGCTGTCGACCGTCCCCTCGCTGGCCAGCGCCAGTCTGGTCGGCCTCGAATACATCCCATCAATCACCATGATCTCACCCCCGCCATCACCACTCACCGACACAGCCATGGGTGTTGACCGAGACCCGCTGCCGCCTCCGGTCCCGATGCTGCACACACCGGAGCCCCGTGACATCCGCCACGTGAGCTCGCCCGGCAGCAACAGCGGAGGCAGCGCATCGCAGACTTCACATGACACAAATCCACAAATCGACGGATTGGTGACGCCCATCAGCTTTGGCAGAGACCAGGTGGGAATGTATATTTATTGTGAGAGGTCGTGTGGGGACGGATGGTTGGATGTGCCTTGCGTGACTGCATTCCATTGCATTCAGGCTGTGGCGTTGCGGAGCTGCGAGACGCTGGAGTCTGTGGGTGAGGTCCTCAACCCGTCGTGTGAGTTTTGGTCGTTTTTCAATGCCAGGGGCGGCACCACACTCAGCATGCTGCACATCAAGGTGAGAAAAGAGGCAGAGACACGGGAGGGAGGGACACACAGTGCCATGCCATGTGTGGATGGGATCCGCGGATGTATGTATGTATGTGTTGAATTGTAGCTGAGCCGGTTGGACGCCGTGCTGTCTCCCGGTGTGTTGACGGCCTACCCCAACCTGACGCACATCCATCTCTGCATCGACGTGCACGCAGCGCTGCTCATCCGCCACGTCGTGTGTTCTTCGTCGCTGCATGCCTTTCTCGCCAATGTGGCCACATTCCTGCAAGCACTCGACCCCACAAAGGTAGTTCTCACACGATCGGCGGCATGGTTGTGTGTGTTGTTGTTGTTCGCGTGTGTCAGCACTCGGCCAGCGTGTTGTTTGTCGCCAACTTCATTTGCCGTGTGGACACATTCACCACAAGCTTCGACGAACCGGTGAGCACATGACTATCAGCACCACCGGCCACCTGTCTGTCTGTCTGTCTGTCTGCAGGATGTTGAGAGCTCCACGAAGTCGGTTCTCACCAGTCAGAGCAGCGTGTCTCTGGTGAGTTTGTCTGAGCCCTCGCTGACCGAAGCGGAGGTCCAGGCCATACACGAGTGGAAGGAACAGATGGACGCCATGTGGAGCCACACAGACAACCTCACACTTGACGTGGTGCGTACGGATGGACGCGCAGGGATGGAGGGAGGGAGGGTGTGGACTCATCTTTGTTTGTCTGGTGTGGTGTGGTGTGCAGGTGAATTGTTCGGACATGTCAGGCGAGACGCTCGATGAGTTCTGCATCGCATGAGACGGACGCTGTTCGGCTGAGTCATTCATTCATGCAGACCTGTTCATGCCAGAACGAGTCAATGACACAAATCCTCTTCATTGCTGATCAGAGAGAGAGACAGGTAAAAAAGGGGCGGTCCTCACACACAGGCAGACGGCAAGGGGTGGATGGATCGATCGATCCGAAAAAAGCGGGAAAAATGCGCCCATCCCATTCACACACACACACACACACGAGGGCCTAGCCGTCCTTCTCTGCCTCTGACTTCACTGCGTATGTGCATTGATAGGTGGACACAGGCACAGAGAGAGAGCCGGAAAATGACACAGACGCTGCACCTAGGTAGACCCTCTCGATTGTCCTCTCAGCGACCGAACGTGGCGTGGCAGAGCCATCATAAACATATACATACACAGATAGACAGATACACATACAAATCATCCCTCAGCTTTCACCCGTCAGCTGAGAAACCAACATGATATGCAGCCAGCCAAAGCCGAAAAAGGGGCCTGCCAGTGCTGGCTTGTGCGTATATATGGCTGCAGCCATGCAATCCACTCACTCAGACCAGCCTAGTGCAGACACACACACTTGTAGGCATCCATTCACTCACTCAGGAGAACTCCTTTATGAAGTCTTCGTGGAACGCCTTAATGCGGTCCAACATGCCCTCAAACTTGGACTCCTGACGCACATAACACACAACACATGCATCAACACACATCCACCCACGGGTGCATCTCTCCTGGCAAACATAATAGATACCTCTGGCAGTATGGTGAGTCTGTAGTGGTAGGTGCCCTCCCTCTGCCCGAACCCCGACCCAGGCACCGCCACCACGCCCGTCCGCTCCAGCAGCCGCAGGCAGTAAAACAGGTCGGGCTTCTGACCCTCCTCGTCCGCTGCCGCGATGGCCTTGTCGGGCAGCTCGAACCTCGGAAAGGCATACATGGCGCCCTCAACAGGCTGATGGATCGATGGATGGATGCACAGATACACACACAGATGGGTCGAGAGGTGTGTGTGGGGGATGGGGGGCTCACCTGGCATGAGTAGCCCTCGACTGTGTTGAGTTTCTCCGACACGAGCTTGGCCTTGCGCTTCAACGAGTCAAAAATGGCACTCCTTAAGGCATGGGACACCGTGTTGGCGCACAGAGAGAAACCGACAGGTCACCATTGCCCTCTCTCGGCAGCGTGCATTCTCACCGACCGTTCCTTTTCGTATTGTGCGTATGAGGGGTCGAAGGGCTTCGGGGGGGTCAGCTGGGCCGCCATGATGGCCTGGCCCACCGTGTTGGCACACAGCGAGAGGCTGAACAGCTTGTAGAGCTGGGCCATGACGTCGTTGTCGAGGTTCATGCAGTGCACCATGCCGCCCCTGAAGCCGCAGTTGCCCTTGATGCCCTTGCTGGCCGAGTGGAAGGAAAACACCTCGATGGACACGTTGAGGTCCGCCGCAACCTACGCAGTCAGGCAGGCAGGCAGGCGTGTGACCGCAGCGGGGGAGGGAGAAGGCTCATTTCATTGTGTAGCTAGCTGAGCTACCTTTCTGAATGAGATGAATGGCTTCTCGTCGCTGTAGATGTTCTCCTGGTAGACCTCGTCCGCCAGGATCACCAGACGGTTCTTCTCGCAGAAGCGGACAATCTGACACACACACACGCACAAACAGACACAGACGGACACCCCAGATGAGCATTTGAGTGCATGTGGCTGCCGTGACTGCGCTGATGACTGACCTCTTCCATCTCTTGTCGTGTGAGTACGGTGCCGGTGGGATTGGAGGGGTTGATGACGACCAGGCCCATGACCTTGACGCCGTTCTCCCTGGCGTCCTCCAACGCCTCCTGCAGATCGGACACCGACAGACCCCAATTCTTCTCCTCCTGCACACACAATCAACACAACACAGACAGCCATAGTTGCTACCATGCGAGTGTGGCTGTTGCTGTGTGTGTATGTGGATCGTTTCGGTGCCTGTAGGTAGTATCCGATGGGTCGTGCGCCGAGCCTGACGAGGGATGCCGTGTACAGCGGGTACTGGGGGATGCTGTGTGGGCAGATGTGGACAAGGCACAGGCATGTTTGTGGTTCTGGCTCTGCCTTGTGGTGTGCGCATGTATGTCTTCGTACGGAATGAGGATCCCGGTGTCGTAGCCGTCGACCAACAGCTCCAGCACCGTCCGAATCGCCATGCTCGCACCTGATGACATGACAGGGTGCCTCTCCCTCTCTGTCTCTCTCTCTCTGCGTGTGTGTGTACCATTGGTGTAGATGATGTCTTCTGGGTCGGTGGGGTAGCCGTCCCTCTCCGTCATCCACTCGGCAGCCACCTCACGAAAAAACTTGATGCCTGCACACACGCATACAGAGGCTCTTCATTCTGAGTGTCAAGTGTCACCGACCACACACCTTTGCTCTCCGAGTATGCGCCAAACTTTGGGAATTCGCTGAGCACCTTCCTCGCCTTGTCCGCGATGTCCGAGGGGTATCGGTCGGGGAAGTCGTCCAGCAGAGAGGGGTCAACCAGCACTGAGGCAAACTGATGAACCCAACACACAGACAGGCAGGCATACGGCGGATTCTGTGTGGCATGTGTGTGTGTGTAAAGTGGTAGCTTACCTTCTTGATGTATGTGATGGGTGTCTGGCCAACGGCCTGTGGGTTGCCGATGTTGCACCGGGTGACCTCGGTGAAGGGGAGAGAGCCTGACCAGACAGACCAACACACACACACACACACACGGGCACAGCGCCACCAGTCACCATGGATGGCTGTCTGGCTGTTGCGTTGGGTTGCGTGCCTGGGTCGTCCTTGAGCTGCTTGTTGATCTCCCACGACTTGTACAGCACCTTGCCCCGCACAGCATACTGCATGCAGCCATCCATCCAGGCACACACAATCGCATACATACAGACCACTTCACCTCGTCATCTCCCTCCGGCCCTCTCAGCCCCTCTCACCTCGACGTTTTTGACTCGGTCTGGGAGTTTGCCCTCGGTCAGCACCACCTGCCTGGGGTCATTCTGATGACAGAGTCAGCAGACAACAGGCAACAAAGGACAGTCGTGGTTGGGGGGCAGTGGAGGGCAGCGTTGCGACCACCCTGCAGGTACCTCGAGGTCTTGCATGTCTTCCTCGTCGGGCAGGGTGAAGAGGCGGTTGAGCATGAAGCTGCTGACCTTGGAGGTGCTGCTCACACTCGAGATGCCGCTCCACCGGCCCTTGATGGGGGTGCTGCCCAGCACACCCACCTTGCGGCCACTCATGCTCGGCGGCGCCAGATTCTGAATCGAATACTGCACAGACAGACAGACAGTGTGAGTGGATCTGTGTCTTCTGTGTGTCTGATCTGCTCCCTCCCTCCCTGCCTCCCTGCCTGCCTGCCTGACATACATCTGGTGTGGCCGGCTTGGTGGATGATGCAGAGGGCTCGGCGCCAGGGGCAAAGCGCACGTTGTACGACGACATTTCTGACCGATTGTGTGAGGGCGGCGACTGACGAAGGTAAAGATGAATGGGGTAGATGGGATGGGGCGGTTGCAGGGAAAATGGATGCTGCCAGAGGAAAGCTCCTTGGCTTGAGGATCTCACGTCTAAGCTCGCAGATGCGCGAGCGGTTCTATACGCCCATCCTTGCTTCATTTCCAGACCGTCAAGATGACAAGGGGACGCCTTCTGCTTCACACACGGCACGGGAAAGACCAGAAGTTCGTTTGTCTTGAAGCGCGCTGAGCCCCCCCGCAGCCCCCAAGAGAAAGGCAGATGAGCCGATTGGACGGCGGCAAGTGGAGGACATTGGAAGGGCTAGTGGGGAAGCTGTCGAGGAGCCTCTCACAGCTGGAAGTACCTTTGCAGAAGGAGAGTGGCGGCCGGATGGAGGATGACGAGGCGAGTGTGTTCCAGGCTGACATGCAGAAGATAGAGACCCTGAAGCAGCAGACGCTGGACAGCCTGCAGGACGTTCTCAGCCGTCTGCAGTCAAGACTCGACGGAGTACCCTCCCTCTCTACACCACCGTAAGACCCACAGACCGGGCCCTTTCTGTCTCACCTTCCAAGTGGTCACTTCTGGGTCTGTGTGAATGTAGGAGGGAGGACACCGGAAGCTGCCAGGGTGACGGTGCTCCTGCACGCGGAGACGACCGACCACAGACACAGACTCAGAGTGAGGATGTGGCGGCTCTCCGGAGGGCCATGACCACGATTCAGTCCAAGATCTTGGCGTCTCCCTGTGTGCCTGCAGTGCCTGTCCACGTGCAGGGGGGCGGAGGGGCAAAGAAGGTATGGGAATACATGCAGCAGCAACGATACTTGTGCAGGGACGGGTGGGTGGGTGGATGGATGGATGGGTGGATGCAGGTGTGTTACACGGCGGATGAGGACAGTCGGGGCGTGCGGGAGCAGTCCCCACGGGATGGTGAGAGGGTGGCTGCTCTGCAGAGGATGGTCAAGGAGCTCACTCACGTTGTGGCTGCAAAGGTGGGGTGGGCAGAAATGCAGGAACCAACACAGACAGAGCGGGACACAAAAACTTCCCTTCCTCTGTGTGTCTCTGTGTGTCCGTATCCCCACACGCAGGATGCCCACATCGACGAGCTGCTCCGCCAGCAGTCGCCGGGCCACCACGCCGTTGCTGATGCCTTCCCCTCCCCCTCTTCGTCTCCCTCCCCCTCCCCCCAGATCATCTACATGAACCTTCCATCAAGGAGGAGAAGGAGAGGACGGCACTCGGCTGTTGCTGATAGACGGCCACGAGACACGTCTGACTCCTGGGATAAGGACGGCAGCAGCAACAGCGGCGATTCCTCGTCTGACGGGGGATTCCCGCGTTCAATGATGGGCAAGAGCCACGCGGCTGTGCAGTGCAAAGGCAAGGAGCCGCCAGCTGGACAAAAGGTTTTTGCATATCACATGAGCGGCCTCACCAGCCCCCCTGTCACACCCTTGTGGGACACAACTACGGCCGACAAGCTGAACAAGATAATCAGGGAAGTGCCGCCACCAGCACCACCTACTTGGTCCACGCAGACCACCGCCGTGCCCTCACTGTGCGCCACACAGTCCACCACCACACATAGCGACGCCATCGATCAGCTCCCTCCCCCGCCCCAGCATCCATATCTCCTCCCCCACCACATAGAGCTGCGCCTCACACCAGACGGCCATGGCAGGTTCCTCCTCACGCCCGCGCCAGCAGCAGCAGCAGCAGCAACAACAACGGTGCGTGTGGAGGGTATCGCCCGTGTGGACACGCCCCCACCCCCACCTTCAGCCCCACAGGCACCTGCCAGCTCACCTGGATCCCGTGTGCTGCACCTGCCCCCGCCACAGAGGAGAGAATGCGCCATTGACGCGCTCATTGCTGAGAGAGAGAGGGACATTCAGAGGGAGAGAGAGAGGGAGGCCATGGCGAGGGCGATGCGTGTGCGGCCGGCTGGGCGGCCGGTGGGGGAGGGGTGTCGCTTTGGGGGCAGGTGTGGCTGCCACCTGCCTGTGCAGCAGTGAGTGAAGTTGGGGACGGAGGGAGAAGCTTGTGTTGAGCTGTGGGTGGTGTGTATGGATGCGCCAGACGGAGAGAGAGAAGGAGAGAGAGAGAGACATGATTTATTTATGTACACGAAGTGTCCAATCTGATTACTAAAGAAGGCGCCCGGCATTGCGCCGGACACACACACACACACACACGCACACACACGAAGACAGAGATGCTGTCTTTTCCACAGACATGCAGCCATGCATTTATTTCCATGTATATAAACCACTCCCACCCCCATCCACAGGACCTCGCCCAGTTCGGGGAGGCACAGCGCGTCCCATCTGCGTCAGTCAAGTGACTGCAAACAAACACACACACACACACTCACATACAGACATACACACACATCGACTCGACTCGACTCGACTCGACTCGACTCGACTCGTGCGCATGGGAACAAAGGAGCGGTGAAAAAGAAGTGACTAGTATTCGGCTGGCTAGCTGCACTGGCTTGCTTGCTATCAATCAACCATCCATGTATCATCGATCAATGAATCAAGGGCATTCATTGGCATGGCAGTACGTCCCACATAGCTGCTCCCGGTATGTATGTCTGTCTGTCTGCGGCCACACACCCGACCCACACACATTGACGGAGGGATGGTTGGATGTGTGGACGGACAGCATGCAGACAGACATGCATAGGGCAAAAAGGCACCGAGGAGGGGTGGGGGGCACTTGTACATACATGGCATGGACACACACACAGACAGGTATGCAAGCCAAGCCTAGCAGGGGAGACAGGCAGGCAGGCAGACAGGCAGACAGGCAGACAGGCAGACAGAAGACAGACAGGCAGGTAGGTAGGTAGGCAGGAAGGTGTATGTACATCAGAGGCATCATCAATCGATTGCCGGCAGACCTCCAAAACCCGGCATGTGACTCTGAGTGAGTGAGTGAGTGAGTGTGGCAGAGTGAGTGCACAACTGTGCGATTTACTCAGTCATTCATTCCCCCCTGATGTATGCCTATCTCTATCAGCCCCTCCCTCCTTCCCTCCCTCCCTCCCTCCCTGGCTGGCTCCCTCCCACACATCCCCTTCAGTTAAGAGGAACGGTTAAATCCAATCAGCAATAAGGCAACAGGAAAACAGCGTCTGTGTGTGGATGGATGGATGGACGGATGGATGGATGGAATGGACGATGGATCGCATCGCTCAGACGTTCACCGACGCCTGGGCGAGTGTGGGGCCGTTGCTGTCATCCCTGTCATGGTCCTCGAAATACCACCTGAACCACCACACCCAACACGCCACACACACCCGCATATGGCCGTATGGCCCCCCCTCTGTGTGTCTGTGTGAGTCTGTCTTCACCCATAGTAGACTTTCTGCGATGCGTCTCCACATATAGGGTCGGCGCGTGTGGTGGGGATGCCGTAGCCCGTCACCTCCAGCTTGATCGACTTGCCGCCCACCTTGTCCGACCACACCCGCTCCTTGTTGTCGAACTGAGAGGCAGACGTCACCATGATCTCGTCGCCGTCCGCCGTCTTCAGGATCAGATCGAGGTCGGCGTAGGCCAGACCTTGCTCCGCATTCTCGTCAAACCTGATGGATGTGGCAGATACAGTGATGCTGTGTGTGTATGAGGGGGAGGGGGGGTGAGAGGGGAGGGGCTTAGTGGTTACCAGAAGATGACCCCGGTGAAGCTGTCGACGTCCTTGTCGATCTTCTTGCCCTCGTTGACCTGCAGCTCGAGGATCTCGCCGTCGTCGATGCACGTCCACCCGAGAGCCCACCTACACACACCACACCACCCCACACACACATCAACCAACCCAATCCCCACACCAAATGCCGCCATGTGATGTGCCTACCTCCAAGGATCGTCCAGCCCAGCGTCATCGAACCTCCGCAGCCGGAGCGCCCCCGCGCCCCACAGTGGATCGAAGCCCTTCTCCAGTCTCTTGCTGCCCGAGCTGGAGCCCCTGTCGCCCATCATGAGCATGGCCGCCATCAGCACGCCCGGGTCCTCGATGAGGCTGCCGATGGGCGAGTTGAGGTACCAGTCGGCGAAGACGGCTGCTGCGGCGGCCACCACTGGTGCGGCGAAGGAGGTGCCGCACGCCTTGTTGGTGTAGCCTGCATCGGTGTCATACATGGAGGACCAGCAGCCCTGCGCCACTAGGTCTACGATGCTGCGATCGCCGTCGCCGCCGCGCGAGCTGAACGAGCTGTCGACGTGAGAAACAGAGAGAGGAGAGATGAATGGCTGAGCTGCCCTCTGTGTGTCTGTACCTGATATGTTCTGCCTCGCATCTCTCATCGTCCATGAGGTCGGGAGTGTCGCCAAGCGACCCAATAGTGAGGATCCCATGGGCACTCCCTGGCCGTGTGACGGTGCACCTCTTGCCCCCGCCCCCTCCCTGATTCCCCGCACTCTTGACGAACACCCTGCCCGCGCGGAAGAAGTCGTTGGCCATGCGTGAGACGCCGTCGGTGCCGCTGCAGTCGGACTCGCCCTCGATGATGCCTGCCGAGTAGTTGACGATGAAGGGGCCGTCGGTGCTCATGGTCTTCTCGTAGAGCAGGATGGCGTCCAGGGCGCGCTGCAGGGCGAGGGTGGAGGGGCCAAGCTCAAAGAAGAAAGCTGACGCCTCCGTGGCGCCACCAGAGCGGGCAACCTATACACAGACAGACAGACGGACATGAACAATCTCTCTGTCTGTTTGTCTGTCTGTCTGTCTGTCTCTCCCCGTGTGTGTGTGTGTGTGTGTGTGTCCCTCTCTCGATTCACGTACCTGCGCGATTTTGTCTTGGATACCAGGGTCCTGTCCGCCAGTGACGTCCCCAAAGAGAACGGAGGCCACACCCATGGCGTGCTCGTCATAGGGCCTGTTGAGTGTCGACGTCTCGTTGCACCCGCTCTCCTGGATGCATGAGAAGGTCTTGATGAACCTGCCGAACTTGCCGTTGATGCAGGCCTCTCCGTGTGTGCCCTCCTCCTCGATGCCGTCGCCACAGTCGAGCCATCCGGGGTGGTGGGGGTTGATGGTTGCGATCTCAAACACACCGATGGGAATGTCGGGACTGCTGCCCTTCGGACCTGCAGACACCAACCACATGGACAGAGAGTAGGGGGTCGTCTCTGTGTGTCTAGGGGGGGGGTGGGGGGGGAGTGGGCGAGGGGTGACGGTACCCTCTCCAGTGTATCCGTCGTCCAGGAAGTTGTCGAACTGGTGTATCTTGCGCAGGTCGCTGCCGTCGCACACCTCCTTCTCAAACTCCTCCTCCTTGTACACCAGCTCAACCTCGTCCATCGACACCAGCTCACGCACTCGACCCAAGGGCAAGGTGATGCGCATGGTGGGGCTGATCGAGAAGATCTCCCGGCCCTGCCCACCCATGGCCTCCACCTTCTCACGGATGGGCTGCATGATCGACTTGATGAGGGCGTCGCGCTCCTCGTGGATCTTGGTCATGTGCTGCTTCCTCTCCTTGTGTGTCGTCACGTGGCCCCTGAAACAGAAGAACAGAGATGGCGTCAGTGGGTCCGTGCGTGTGGATGAGTGTGTCGGGTCGCTTACTTTGCGTATGCCTTCTGCATGGCGTCCTGTGCGGACAGCTGCAGCTCCTCGCGCAGCACGGCCCTGACCACCAAATCCACCTGCTCCTCAGCCATCGTCTCCCTCTCCGCCTCGCTTGCCGCAGCGCCGCCCTCCCCGCCGAGCTCGCCCTCCATCTCTGCCAGCAACTCCTCCACCTTTTTGTCGATCTTGCGCGGCAGTGAGACCTGCAGCCCCACCAGCTGGAAAGGCTTGCTGTTGCTCAGGTGGTTGAGCTCGTCGTCCGACGCTCGCCGCACCAGCATGCTCTTGACGAGCGACGTCCACTCGATCTTGGGCTGGGAGCTGTCCTCATAAGTTGGCAGCAGGCCGAGCCCGAAGAGCCCGGCGCTCTCCCGCTGCTGCCGGTTGTTGTAGGCGCCACCCTCGATGACGTACCGCTCGGTCTCGCCGGCATTCTTCTGCTCGTAGAGGGGGATGGGCACCTCATGCGATGTCGTTGACGTTGACGAAGTGGCGTCGATGAAGTGGTCAGCCGCGTCCTGGATGGCCTGCTTCTGCTGCTTCAGCCAGTCGCACAGGGGATGGTGGACAAGAGCGTCGTCATCTCGATGCGATGCTGATTTGGGGGTGGGGGATGACGGGCTTGGCGCTGAGTCCCACGGCAGCTTCGGGAGGCTGAAGTTGGGAAAGGGGAAGGCCTGGGCGGAGGCCGGGTGGTGCTGATCGAAGATGCCAGCCAGGAGAACAAAGGCGGCGATAAATGCTCCACGACGAAAGAAAACATGATGGTGACTCCTCATAGCAGCCGGCTGCCGACCGGACAGACAGACAGACAGTAGGTACGATATGGAGAAAGACAGTCACTCCCTCTCTCACTCACTCAACAGTAGCGATGATCACTCACTCACTCACAAGCAGACACAACAGCAAGCACAACACAGCGCAGGCAGTGGAAAAAACGCCAACAGAGGAGGTAAGCTCCTGCGATAGATCACACGAAGGGCAGACTCCTCAGTCACCACATGCAACACACACACGTCAATCGGACGGAAAAAAGGTCAGGGCAGCTAGATACAGGCGCAGGACAGATGGGGGAGTGCTCGTGGTCGTCGGGGATGAGCCTGCGTGGCCAGCAACGCGCGGGAACGATGACCGAGAGTTGTACGTCGTATAAAATCCGTTTCACAGGGATCCGTTGAGAATGCGAAAAAAATCGCAGCCCGTGGTTCCGTGGCTCCCTGGACGGTTGTCGCCGGTTGCTGAGAAGCCCAAGATCACGAAAACCCGAGATCTCGTCGAGGCTCCCGAGATCTTGGGGAGTGCTCCTGAAAGGACCGTCGGCCTTGCGGATGCCTCCTCCCATCTCGCGCCGCATCACACTGACAGACGCGCCATGCATCGTACACATGCAGGTCAGACACAGATCACAGCAGATGCATGGATGGGACAATCTCACACTCTCCGTCTTCCTGTGCGTTTGTGTTTGATTGATTCGCCATACAGAAGATGCTGAGGGAGTTCGCTGACCGTGATGTGCTATCTCTCAGCCAGGGAGTCGTGCATTGGACACCGCCACAAACAGCCATCGAGAATGCCATCAGCCAGCTCACCAAGAGCGCGTCCGAGGTTCACAGATACGGCCCTGACGAGGGCAGTGCCGAGCTGAGGTCAAAGCTGGTGGAGAAAATCGCGAGGGAGAACGGCCTGACAGCGGCAGATAACGATGTGTTCATCACTGTGGGAGCGAACCAGGCCTTTGTGAATCTGTGTTTGGCTCTCTTTGACCCTGGTGATGGTGTCGTGCTGTTTCGGCCGTTCTATTTCAACCACTATATGGCGTGTCAGATGACCAACCTGGTGCCGTGCCTGTGTGACACAACTGATGAGCTGAGGCCCGATATGGCTGCACTCAGGTAAGAGTGGGAAAGGGAGAGAGAGAAACGGATGATGCATTTCATGGGTGTGGTGGTCCTGTGTTCATTCAGGCGTCTGCTTGAGTCGAGCAGCAGCAACGTCCGTGCGGTCAGTGTCGTGAATCCTGGCAACCCGACAGGTACGTAATCGTACACACCCCTCCGCCTTTTTTTATCGCCCTTGCAGATAAGCTGTGTGCCTGTGTGTGTCCATGTGTGTAGGCATTCTGTTGACCAGGGCTGAGCTTGAAGAGCTGTCATCTCTGTGTCGCGAGCGCGGCATCTGGCTCATTGTCGACAACACATACGAGCACTTCTTGTGGACCGACAGTGATGGTGACTGTGATGGCGATAATGGCTCGAGGCGGCACATGTGTGTGGAGGGCGATCACGTGGTTAATATCTTCTCGTTCTCGAAGGCATACGGCATGATGGGCTGGCGCATCGGGTGAGGGCGGGAGAGGGAGAGAGGGAGGGGCGCACATAAATCTGATTGAAGTGCTGATGCTCCCCTGGTGATGAGAGAAAGAATGGCGGGCACTCCATTGTGTCCGTCGTGAGGGCATCCCCGCCTTGACAGAACAGAGGTGGGGGCCGATGGCATCAGAGTGGCTGCATAGAGCACGGCTGCTCTCGAGAGGGTGCTGAAGGCGGCTAGATCAGGCTAGGCAGCTGTGTGTGTATGTCCATGTCCCTGCGTGCGTCCCTCTTGATGTATGTATCCCGCTTCACCCCCCTCTATCTCTGTGTGGTGTGTGTGTGCGTATGCAGGTACCTTTGTTTTCCCATGGCCAACGAAGCCCTCAGGAGCGGCCTCTTCAAGGTCAGCAAGCAAGACGCCAGCCCCTCACACGGACACGCACCAGCCACCACCACCACACCAACCATCTGTCTGTGTCAGGTTCAAGACACACTCGTCATCTGCCCGCCGGGCCTCTCCCAACGTGTAGCCCTCGGCTGCCTGGAGGCCGGCTCAGCATGGGTGGCCGACGACACGCGACTCGGCAGCGTCAGGCGCAACCGAGCAGCCGTCAAGACCGCCCTCACATCCCTCCTAGGAGAGAGCAACGTCAAGGGCGGGGATGGCGCGATATACTTCTTCTGCAGGCTGCCTCAGCACATACCGGCGTCACAGCTGACAGACACCGACGGAGAGGGAGGAGAGGGCGGTGAGGGTGGCCAATGGGCGTCTGACGAGTGTGTGGTTCGGTGGCTGGTGCGGGAGTATGGTGTGGTGGTCATTCCGGGGTCGGCGTGTGGGTCGCCTGGTCATATTCGAGTCGCCTTCGCCAATCTGGGCGAAGACAAGTGTGCAGATGCTGCTGAGAGGCTGGGAAAGGGGCTGGGAAAGCTAGTAGAGCTGCAAAGAGGAGCGGTCCATGAGATGTAGCTTGCTGACTGTCTCCGTTTTGTGTGTGGCGTGACTGGCGTGGCGTGTTAGATGTGGGTACGTATCATGGATGGATGGATGGATTGATGGACGGATCGTGGCTATTGATGTCTGGTATCGTAAGGGCAATAATCAACGAAGTATCTGGCGTGCCTGAATGTGTCTCCAGCTCCCGACTTACTTACATATGCGATTGTCTGCCTAAACAAGAGCATAGCGCAGTCCTCCGTCATGCGCACATCGATCGGAAGCTTCCCCTGCCGCACGCAATACCGAGGAGACACAGCTTGCTGGGGGCATCTGGGGGCAGAGCTTGCAAGATCGCCCTCAGACGTCGCGGGTCAAGATGCGATTCCTTGTGGTCATCGTGTTGACGTGCACGGGTACTATGCACGATGCCCTCACACCGTCATTGTGTGTGTGGATGTCACTGCTTCAGGTGCAGGCCACTTTCCCCGCCTCACGGCTGGTTTGAATGAGACGCGCGACAACAGCACCGTCACACGAAGGCACGCAAACCAACTCACATTGTACCAATTATTCATTTTTGTCCATCAGAGGCGGGTGCAGCTGCCCACGTGACGTCCAACACTCACTGTCCTGAGGGCTTCTACCCCCACCACGAGCTGAAGCCTATCGGACAGTATGTATGGTGTTGTCGCATCGTGCGGCGGGGCAACGGCCCCACACCTAAAATCAACGATACGGTCACGATTGAACACTGTAAGTAAAAGAGCAGCCTATCGGTAACGGCCTTTCATCCTTTGCTTCCATCATTCATCAGGGCGTCCAGATGAAAGGCCAGAGGTTGAGGACCTAAGTTTTGTGGCAATGTGGGGTGGTCGCCTATATCATTATTGGCGTTATCATGGGGGGGAGATTGACGTGTTCCTGTCGATGCGTGTGGGAGACTTCGAAGAGTGCAAGAGGTTTTTTCAGGGTGTCTGGGATGGCGGCGGTGGGCCATGGGAAGATCGATTGGTGGCTATCAATCCTACCTCCCTCTCTTGCGTCATCACCCGCGACCCATTCCTGACGACGCACAATGGCATCTCGGCTCGCATGGGAACATTTCAATGCTCGGGCGTCAACAGCGCTTCCGGCCACACGCTCGAAGACGGGTATATACCTCCCGGAGTTCATGGGCATATACCTTTCGGTATTTATGATGGGTTCCGCATGCTCGCTGGGAATGAAGATAACTTTGGGTATGGCTTAGCGCCGACATCTCGTATCGATCTGGTGGCGGATGGATGTCATGCGGGCCAGTCCGACTGGTGGGCTCAATGGAAAGTCTGTCTGAGGGACCGCATCTCTATTTGCCATGGGAGCATCGTCCAACACTCAATTATTCTCATTGGTATGGGAAGAGCAATGAATGACGAATATGGGCCGATGGTGACCAAGAGTGAAGACGCTCTCAAGGCCATACTAGAGCGGCTGAATCATTTCAACGACAGCTCTGTCTTTCATCGCGTGGCCCCCCCTATCATCACACCAACCAAGATCACCATCAAAATTGAAACTACTGGGCCGCTCTCTTGTGTCATCACCCGCGATCCATTCACGACAACGCACAACGGCATCACCTCTCGCTTAGGGACCTTTCAATGCTCGGGCGTCAACTACGCCTCCGGCCACACGCTCGAGCTCGAAGACCAAAAGAAAGGAAAGATTCCTAACGGCACTTACGATGGCTTTGTGCGGCGTGATCTCGGAAAAAAGAATCTTGGTCCTCGCATCGAGCTAAGAGATGTCCCGGGCTTCGAGCACATCCAGATTCACAAAGGCAACTACATCCGCGACACAAATGGTGGCATCCTTCCTGGGGAGTGGGCAGGAATGGACGAGACAGAGGGGCCAATGATGACCCACAGTGAAGACGCTATGGAGGCCATACTAGATGGTGTACATGAGAGCACCAACATCACCATCACAGTCCAAGTTGGATGTCTTATCGGGGAGTATGAAGATGTGTGTTGTCGCGTCGTCCGGCAGAACTACTTATGGTACTGGGATCCTAGCCGTGGAGCAATCAAGCTACCCGGGCCAACACCCGCACTCAATGACACTGTGACATTCGAACATTGTGAGTAAAGAGAAAGGCATTGTCACATATATTGTTGGATGCCATGTCTGCTCTGTCCATGTCTCTTCTGTCTCTTCTGTCTCTTCTGTCTCTTCTGTCTACCTGCAGGGATTGATGGCAAAATGCATCCAGGCTTCTCAGGGTCAGACAGAATTCCAACCTCTGAAGTTATGCGTATGTATGACTTTACGAGAGGGTGGCCGTATGAGATGCGCGAGGGACTTCTGTCGATGCGCGTAGGAGACATGTTGGAGTGCATCGCTGACGAAGACGCCGGCTTAAACTGGACACGTCATGTTGTGCGGTTTGTGGACTGCAGCTGCCTTCCTACCCTCTCTTGCGTCATCACGCGAGACGCATCACCCACAACGCACAACGGCATCACGGCTCGCATGGGGACCTTTCAATGCTCGGGCGTCAACAGCGCATCCGGCCACACGCTCGAGCTCGAAGATCAAAAGAAGGGGAAGATTCCAACCGGCACTTATGATGGCTATGTGAGGCATGATCCGGGATCCAGCAACCTGGGCCCTCGCATCGAGCTGGTGGATGTGCTGAACTTCACGAATATCCAGATTCACAAAGGCAACTACGTCCGCAACACGGATGCCTGCATTCTCCCTGGCACACGAAGAGACATGCATGACACAGAGGGGCCGATGGTGAAGGATAGCGAAGCCACCATGAAGGCCATACTGACAGGGGTCGACGACAAGACCACCAAAATCACCGTCACAGTCCAATATGGCGAGCAGACTCCCTGTCCTGAGAGCATTCCTATCACAGTACCTGAAAAGGGTGACATATGCTATCGTATCGTGCCGCAGGACTACCTATGGTACTCGGATCGTGGGAAGCCAAAGGGGTTGCCCGGGCCATCACCGAAAGTCACTGATACTGTGACCTTCGAAGAATGTGAGTGAGTGAAAGAGACATCAGCAACTGCAGCCTATCTGTCTCCTTCCATCCATGTGTCGTTGGTTGGTATCTGTCTTGTCTATCTCCAGGGTTCATCTCATCGCCGTCGCTACCTGCAGGTGCCGAAGATATGATAGAGCGAAGGGAGGGACTCGTGTCTGAGATTCCCGAGGACAATGGGATTCGTGATATAGCTCTGTCGATGCGCGTGGGAGACAAGGTGGAATATTTCACCCCAGAGGAGCCCCTCACTAAATATGAGGTCCGGTTCGTCGCCTGCAGCTGCCTTCCTACCCTCTCTTGTGTCGTCACGCGGGATGAATCACCCACAACGCACAACGGCATCTCTGCTCGCATGGGGACTTTTCAATGCTCGGGCGTCAACACCGCCTCCGGCCACACGCTCGAGCTCGAGGACCAAAAGAAGGGGAAGATTCCAACCGGCACCTACGATGGCTTTGTGCGGCGTGATGGGGGAGAGAATGGAACAAAGTTGCCGCGCATCGAGCTGATCAATGTGGAGGGCTTCGAGTACATCCAGATTCACCAGGGCAACTACGTCCGCCACACGGATGCCTGCATCCTGCCTGGCAGGGGGAGAGGAACGAAGGACACAGAGGGGCCGGCGGTGTGGGAGAGCAATGCCACTATGAAGGCCATACTGGAGGGGGTGGACGACAAGAAGACCAAGATCACCATCACAGTCCAAGCTCACGAGCAGCCTACTGCCAACGCGGCGAAGCATACGAGCAAGTCATGGTGGGGCGGGATGGCAGTGGTGGCACTCATGTGGGTGATGTTGTAGCCACGGTATGGAGGCTCGAAGCATGGATATGCAAAAGAGACAGACATATGTGGTGTGGGCGCCGGTGATGTGCTTTGATATGCCTTTGCTGCAGTTGGTGTATTTGGGGCGGTGCATGTTAGGGAATCGGGATGATGCGGAGAGGTTTAAGCGACTGAGAGAGCTTTAAGGCGTTCTCGCGCATAGACTTACCCACTGCTCGCTCGGGGTTTCTCTTTTTCTGTCTTTCCATCTTTCCATGTCTCATTTTCCTTCTGCCTTTGGCATGGGGTGTGCATCAGGACTGCCGGCCTCTTGTATGCACTGCCCTGCTCTCATTTTCTCAACCATTTTTGCAGTGCATGGATGGTCGTGCGAATCTTTCAAGATGAAGACACAACTCACACAAACCCGTCGTGTTGATAAATGAAGTGGTACAAGTGCAGTGCTGTGCTCGTTGGTCGACACGTCCACTCGTCTCCATTCCGTCTCTGTCTGTCTGTCTGTCTGTCTGTCTGTCGCTTTCATCCACTTGATGTGCCTCATTCGCAGACGGCTCTGGTCTTACAACCGCACTCAGCCAGCCAGCCAGCCAGGCAGAGCAGACGAGAGCAATCCATACCACACACACGAACAGGCCAGCAACAAATCAAGCCAATCAAGCCAGCACACGCGTCAACGGAACTCAGTTGACAGGCGCATCCCTGCCCCAAGCCCAACCCGAGTGTTAACAAAGCAATGTGCGCGAGGGGCTCGTGGTGGGGCGGGATGGCAACAGTGCTGGGAGTCTGGATGATGTTGTGGCTCTGCCTTGAGAGCTAGAATTGTACACATAATATGCAGCGCAGAGACAGGCATATGTCTGCCGGACACGCTTGCTGGAGCAAGGCTGTAAGCAGGTATCATGTCTCCCCTGAAGGCAAGCTGCTGGCTCACAGTGCACAGCCGAGTGAGTGCAGCGTGAGGAAGGGCTCTCATCTGACTGACGGCAGCAATACCGTGCGTTCATCTGTTGCACACCAATTTAACATCGGCAACACTCCGTGAGTGCCAGAAAGGGAGACACAGCACGTGCCGTGTGTGTGTGTGTGTGCGTGTGTGTCAGCTTGAGGATGACGCGACACGCGACCAAGGAAGAGAGAAATTGTGTGCCGCAGTGATGTGACGCGTTCATGTCTATGTTGGATTGATTGATGGACAGATGGCAGCTGCCCATTTCGTTCGTTGCGTTGAGAGCAATAATGCACGAAAAATCTGGCGTGTCCTCATCTGCGCGCACACACGAGCATCCACACCATGCAGTGTGGTGTACGATCCTGTCCTACACGCTCGCTGCACACTCACTGCACACCGACTACACACTCAACAGCAACCCACACGCAAGACAGATACATAGATACGATATGCATCGATGTGACGCGTCTCGTGCAGTGGGGCAATGGGAATGCAAAGCCGACAGAGGGGCTGGTGGACGACCTTCCCTGCACGAGTCACGGCAGGGACGTCCGGACATCATCCACAATGACGGCGTGTCATTCCCACGTCGCCACCGCACTTTTCCAAACCTTTGTTGACCCACTGCAAGGTTTCCTTTCCCCTATGCATCATGCACACATCCATCCATCCATTCATTCATCCATATGGGTGGCCTCACCACCCACCCACTCATCCGATCCCCCACACACAGGTAGACTGTACAACCATCCGCGTCGCCCGTGGCCCCACCCGCACATGGACAAAAAATATACACAGGAGAGTGATGCGCTGATATCATCCACGCAGCCGACAGGCAGGCGGATAGGCAAGAAGACGAGCGATCGGTATAAAAGGACCCATGTATACACGCGTGGGTGGATGGATGGAGGAGTAGACAGATAGACGGACCAATGGATGATCCGTGCCCTTAGCGCCCGGTAGGTAAATACGTACTCTTGTCGTCACATGCCCGTTGTTTAAACCGGTGCGGCGTTGGCGCCCTCGAGAATGAAGGCAGTCGCAATCGCACCTGCAACCAAACACAACACCCCACAGCCCCCACACACACGAGATCCATGTGTGCTTTTGTGTCTTCCATTTCACTGACCAGCAAACATCATGGGCACGGCGACGAGTGAGGTGAGGCTGAGCTCAGCCATGCCGCTAATGCCGTGGCCGCTGGTGCATCCGCCGGCAATGCGTGAGCCTAAGAGCATGCAGAAGCCGCCGAAGAAGCACATGGCGGGGTGGAAGCCGTCCTGCAGGTTGAAGACACCGCTGTAGTAGGACGACAGGAACGCACCCAGCGTGGCGCCGATCCACAGGTACACTACCTGCCACCAATTCGACCTGCCCCACACCGACACGTACACACAGACGAAGATACGGCCGGGTGTCCGTCTCTCTCCTATTCTCGTGTGTCCCCCCCGTCTGTGAGTCTCACTGGTCAGCACAGTCCGTGTATCTCTCTGAGAGTTTGCCGACGCCGAAGATGGCCTTGAGTGGCACTGCCGTGATGGTGCAGTATGACGTGGCCGAGCCCAGCCCGTCGCTGAAGAAGTACCGCACCGGCCACTGGAGCACGCCTACCAGCACACCAGCCACCTCAGGCGGCCACGCGCGAGCCCTAGAGACCAAATCAACACAGCACAACACAAGAGCACACATGCAACACATGACAGATGCACAAGATCAGCTGTTTCACTCACAGCGGGTGTAGGGGCGTGTTGGAGTGCTTGTCGAGCCTGACACCAGGGGGCAAATCGTCCTTCCACGGCACATAGTACTCGCACACCGCCACCACCGCGGCGCACATGGCAGCCAGGCCCATGGCGCATATCCAGTAGGGCTTGTAGAAGTACGAGTCGACTGTTTCGCGCCTGAAGGGGGGCTTGCAGCGGCCCTCCATGGGCTTCACTAGGGGTTTGTCCAAGATGCCCCACACGACAGACGCCGTCAGCCCGCCAACCACTATGATCCACGCATTCGTCACGCCGGCACCGAGCTGCGCGCAGAGACAGCAGAACATGTTGTGTGTTGTATTGTGTTGCGTGGGTGCGTGTTGCTCCATCTCACCTGGACAATGACGTTGCCAGGGCAGCTGCCTGCGAGGGTCATGCCGACACCCAGGATGAGCGCGCCGACGGTGGCGGAGATGAAGCCCTTGTCGTTGTCGATCAGGTACCTCCGGGTGCTCTCGAAACGCTCAGGCATCACACCGGACATGAACGCCTGATGATGGACAGACAGAGAGGTGCACACAGATTCAGGCAGGTCTTCATGCGGGTGGCGGGCCTGTTTTCTCTGTGTCTGTGGGAGTGTGCTCTCTTGCCAGTGTGATTAAACTGGATGTGGCCGCACACAGGAACATCTTGAGCATTACGAACTGGCGGAACAGCTGCAAAACAGGTAGACAAGAGAGAGGCCAGATGGGCGCCATCCATTACCTCTTCGGCAGCTATGAACGTACCATTTGGCTGAAAATAACCGTGGGAAGGAAGACCTGCACACGCGCCAAGACAAACAAAACACGCATGCACATGCAAACACGGCCCCACCGCGGCCGTCATCTCTGTGTCTGTCTGACCTTTCCTTTCTCGAGTGACATGCCGAATACCATACCGCACAGGACCGCCACAATGAACCCCAACACCGACAGCGGCGTGGAGGGGCTGTCCACCAAGCGCTTCAGCTGCACACACCACACACACACGCAGAAACGCACATGCCCACAGATCCATTCATGCGGTGGATGCATGGATGAGTGCCCCCCGTAGACTATCTCTCTCACCCATGTGCTTCCTGGCTTGAGCACAGCAGAGCTCTCTAAAGTCCAGTTGTTGACTTGTGCTTTGGCGGGTCTCTCTGGGTCAACCGTCACTACCCTCTGATCTAGGCTCTCTGCCTCGCCCTCTCCCTCTGCGTCTACGTCTGCGTCTGCTGCCTGTTCCTGCTCTGCCGTGTTGCGAGTGTCGTCACGCAGTACAGTGTCGGCTGCCTGCTCTGCCGGTGTGCCATTGTCAAACGAAGTGCCGTGAGCCATCTCTCTTACTTTCGATTCTGCCATGATTTTCTGTCGTCACAATCAACAGATTGACTCCAAGGAACAGCAGGGCCCTCGCAGAAGAGCCTCCTCTCGAATGCACCAGCTCCTTTTGCTCCTTGTGAGGATCGCTTCAAAGCCCGCAGTTGCGAGGAAGGAAAAGAACTGTTTTGCGCGGTGAATGTTTGTGTGGCCACTCTTCTGGTTCTTGTACCTAAGCATGCAAGCAATGGAGCGGCCACCCAAGAGACTCAAAGCGGAGCAGCCCACCTACACCCTGGGTGACCTCCTTTCCTCAGCCAACCTGCAGCATCTCCAGGAGCCCTTTGCCAAGGCTGGGCTTGGCGAATTAGGGACGCTCATCCGCCTGTCTGAAGCATCCAACCAGCTGGATCGGCTGTGTCAGCGATGCCAGGTGGCGCAAGCCGACAAGGAGGCGCTCTTTGCCGCCATCAAGAGCCACACGGAGGGCGGCGCGGCGGGCGACTCCGACCTGGCCAGGTGGCTGCGTCATCACGGGCTCATTCACATCAAAAGGAACCTGGAAGCGGTCCGAACGACGGAAGCAGTGAACGAAAACTCCTGTCGCCCTGTGTTTTTCATTTTCATTGATTGACGTGGGTGAATGCAGGCGTTGCGCAAGAGTGGCGAGACAGAGGAGGTTGAGATGCCGGACAAAAAGCGGATGACGCTTGACGACGTGCAGCGGCTGTGCAGCATGCTCAGCACCAAGACACGGCGGGAGAAGGAGGACCACCTGGCCAACTGGGTGGAGAGCCCCGTGGACCTCTGCAAGCTGGTGGATCTGCTCGACTCGGTGCCGCCAAAGCTCACCGACAAGACAGTCAGGACCGTCAGCGACCGAATCTAGTGAGTCACACAGTCACAGTGAATGAATGAAGGCAATCACTCATTCACTCATTCGCTCATTTGTTCGCTCCTTGCTTGGTCTGCTTGTCGATTCCTTCAGTGATTCATTGTCCTTCGACCGTGAGTTGTTTAGTTTCATCGACACGCCGCAGGTGCAGCGGCTGAGGCGCCTCAAGCAGCTCGGCGCATGCCATTTGGTCTACCCGGGGGCCGTGCACACACGATTCGAACACTCACTGGGCGTTGCGTATCTGTCCAAGAAGGCCTTTGAGCTGCTCGCCGTGTAGGCAAGCAACAGTCGTTTATCCATCCACCTGTGTGGTATTTCGTTGTCAGCAAAGCGGGAGTTTCATTGAGCGATCCGCGTGTGGTACGTCTGAGCCGTCTGCTGCAGATTGCTGGCCTGTGTCACGACCTCGGCCATGGCCCGATGAGTCACACGTTCGAGTTTGGTCTTGTGAGGAAGCTCCCTGGACGTGAGCAGCATACACACACACGTATAGACAGGGCGCCCATCATTCTGGGTGCTGTGTGTGTGTATGTGTGCAGTTGAGAATTGGTGTCACGAGGACATGTCGCTTGCCCTCTTCGATGACATGATCGCGACCAACCCAAAGGTGGCTTGTAAGTCGGCGACGTGAAGAAGAGAGGCACACTCACATAGGTCGATATCATCAGGCTGCCGAGGTGATCGATGCGCTCGACGGCCGCCAGGTGGTCAAGGACTTCATTCAAGGGTGAGTCGAGCCAGCAAGCAACACAGCATACAGGGCCTGATATGTCTGTGGATGTGCAGATCCCGTCCAGAGGATCGGCCGTTTGTGAAGAGTGGCGCCCCAATCGATGCGCTGGAGCGGGCAGCGTACGACATCGTCGCCAACAAACGCAACGGCCTCGATACAGACAGGTAGGGGCTGTGTGTCGGCGATGAGCGGTAGACCTCTCATCGCCGACACACAGAATGACTGTCTCTTTCGAGACGTCTGTGCTGTATGGGATGCAGGATGGACTACCTGCAGCGCGATGCGAGCATCTCGCCAAGGACGCTCCCACGGTGAGTGAGGCAGCCAGACAGGCGGACGTGTCCATTCATTCAGCCATGTGTGGTGTGCTCTGTCTGTACGTGTATGTGCCAGCTACAATCCGGATCGTCTGTTGAGCAAGGCGATGGTGATAGATGGGGAGATATGCTATCCCAGCAAAGAGGTGCAGTCTGTCGTGGAGCTGTACCAGACAAGATACTCGCTGTTCAAGAAGGTCAGTGACCAAGTGAGGTGGCTGGCTCAGCAACGGCGACTTCGTGTCTGCCCTCTGCCTGCCTGGCTGACTGCTTGCCTGCCTGCCTTCGCAGGTGTACACCCACAGCAAGGTCATCGCGCAGGAACACATGGTCAGAAACTCACACAATAGATGTACACACATCTCCACACATCAAATCTATTCATGCCTTCAGGTTTGTGGCGCCATCAACGCGGCCAAGGACTCGATCTCCTTCATCGTGACGCCCAAGGGCGGGGGGGAGAGGAAGCGCATGACCGTCAGGGAGATCATCGAGGACGGCAACTGCGAGGGCTACCTGTACCTCACCGACTCACTTGAAGATGTACGTGTGCATCAACAGGAGGACACACCATGAGCCAGAAAAGCATGGCGATGTACTTGTTTGCATGTGCGGGCGCGCGTACCTGCAGATGATTCGTGGCAGCGACGATACGAACGACCCGGGCCTGCAAGAGTCAGTCGGACCACGGACACAGAGAAGGCCATCCATCCTTGCTGCTTTCTAAATCAGGGCCAAGAGCCTGTTCCTCCGCCTGGAGCAGCGAGACATCTATCGCGTCGTTGGTAATCACCCGCTGACACACAGCCAGCCAGCATATGCCTGCAACTCACTCACCTGTGCTGTGTGTTGATGTGCAAGGTGAGCACTTCATCGACAAGCCGATAGATGAGGTTGAGAAGCACATGAACGAGGACAATATATCTCGCATCGCCAACTCCCGCCAGCACACCCACCTCGACGGATCGCAGGGGGCTCAAGTCTCAAAGGACGACATTATCGTCGACGGTGGGCAGCGAAACACGTCGTCCAATCGCTCTACCACCATGCACACATGGTGTGTGTGTGTGTGGTGTGTGCGTGTATGTGTGCATGTCACAACAGTTCGCGAGCTGCACCACGGCACTGGCGAGAGGAACCCCCTGCACAACGTGGGTTTCTACAAGCACGGAGAGAAAGGGCCGAAGAAAATCCAGGCCGACTCACCCAGCTCGCCCGTCTTGCACAGCGGTAGGTACCCACTCACGGACAGGCTGACTTGTGACACATCATATGGGGGATGGTTGGTCGGTAGCATGTGTACCATGTGTGAGTGTGTGTGGGTGTCAGGATGTCACCCCCGATGCTGGCAGGAGATCCGCATTGTCGTTTTGCTGAAAGACCCACACCCAACCAAAGTACAAAGAAGCGAGCAGGACTGTAGTGATGTTGATTCTTATATCTGGCGTGCTGTGCTGTGCTGTTTGAGTGTCAGTTCTTGAAGGTGCAAGGGGCATTCACCCAGATCTTGAATGAAAAGTTCGGATGCCCTCACCCAGTCGTGAGCCGACACACAAACGCACCAGCGAAGCCATGCACATTGGTGTGTGTGTGTGGCGTATGTCTTCAGCACGAGGGCCAGTTCACAGAGAGAAGCCTCCCCTCCTCTCCCTCGCGGCCACAGCAGAACAGGCCCACTGTGTGAGCTCACTGTGCCATAGAGAGACAGTGATGGACAAGACACACACTGGGAAGCAGCTAGGAGGGGCGCGGGTGTGAGTGGCGTGGCGTTGCGGGCCGAGTCGAGTTGCTAGGTCATTTGCTAGGTAGCTCCTGTGGTTAATGTTGGGTGGGTGTACGTCGCCCCATAATTGTGTAGCTAGTGTGAGTGTGTGTACGTCAGCTAGATTATAGAGACGATCCCTCGTATGCGTAACCCAACACTCATTGGTCTATGCGGCGTATGTGTACGTTTGTTGTCTACACAAAGCGACTCGGCAAAGCACAGCGCCTCTAGACCGAGAGCCGTCAATCAGCCGATACCCATTCTCACGCAGCCATCGATCCATCAGAAATTCTGTTTCCACGGCCGCTGGAGCTGCGCCTTGGTCCCCATGCGAATCTTACTGGACCTACACACACACACACACACACACATGCACCACAGCAGCGTGTCGTTTGTGTGTGTCTCGTCTCGTGTTGCCCCCCCTGACTTGATGGATGTGTTCACAGATGAGGGGGCCGTCCCCCCCGCCTCCCTCTTGGCCGCTGGAGCCTTCTTGCTCGCCCCGCTGCCCGCCGACGGCCGAGTCGACTCCCTCTTCACCTTAGCAGCACCAACGACGACAACAGCAGCAGGAGGCGGCTGCTGGGGTGGAGGCGGCTGTGGCTGTGTTTGCGGCTCGTGCGATGGCGGCTGGATCATGTCCATCTGTGGGAAGGGGTGTTTCGCCGTCACCCACGGGTAGAAATCGGTCAGCAGTATGTTGGGGTGGCTGGTGATGCCTGCTGGTGGGTGCACTGGTGCTGGTGTGGGGCTGATGGCCCGCAGCCTGCTGCACGACGGCGTGGGGCCCAGCTGCATGCTGTGGCTCATGTGCTGCGGGGCCTTGCCGCTGTTGCTGCTGCCGGCGGTGTTCCACGCGATGCTGTTGATGCTCTTGTTGAGAGTGGCGTGATGCATGCTGACGGGCGGCGATCCCAGACCCATTTGTGGCGTTGGGTGGCGGTGGTGGTGGTGCCCTATCATGAGCTGATGCATGGAGGGATGTGAGGGGGCGGGTGTGACAGATCGGTGGCTGGCCGGGCCGGCGGCAGGAGGCGGGTGGATGCGCACAGCCGACAAGCCGTAAGGACGCATCATCGGAGACACCGGGCGGCAGAGGTCGTGGGCAGCATAGGACGGCAGCCGCATGGGCATCTTCGTAGTCGCGTTGAGCTCGATCTTGGAAGTGGATCCGCCTAGGCCGCTTTCTTCTCTCTCCTCATCTGTCTGTGAGTGCGATCGCTTGTTGCCGTTGTTTTTGCTGTTTTTTGTGAAGGGCGGGCGGGATGCCGGCGCGGATCTGTCGATCCTGTCGGTGGTCACGTGCAGCTGCTGCAAAAGGTGGTCCTTGCCGCGCTTGAGCTCCTCGATGGTGTCATCCAATTGCCTGCAACAACACACACATACACCCGTGTTGCCGACAGAGGCTGTGTTGGTGTACGTATCTTCGTGTCTGTTGGACCTGATTTGGCTGAGGCGGTGTTCCTTTTCCTTGGCTGCGACCTCTTTGATGTCCTGTATACTGTTGCTGCTGCTGCCACTGCTGCCACTGTAGCTGCCGCTGCTGCTGCTGCCGGCGTTCTTGACTCCAGCATCCCCGGCCTCCTTCCCCTGCCTTCCCACCTCACTGGCCACCCCCGGCCCCTGACCATCAAGGCACCCCAGGACATACTCAACAGCCCAGTGCTTCATGTCTGAGCACACCCTGTCGGCCTCCTCGGCCAGCCACACAGGCATGCTCTTGCCTCGCCGGTCCCACTCATCGTATTCTCGCAGCCACGCGTGGATGGGGCTGCCCTCCTCGTCTGTGTCCGCTCCTCCTTGAGCGTCGGTGTCGCTAGTGGCCATGGATATGAGGCGTGTGCGTGCTGAAGGTGCGTTGAGGGCCGCTGGGATCTTCTCTGAGAGGTGTGGGGGGCAGATGTGCGTGTCGGCTTCTGGCTGGGCCTCGAAGGCGCTGATGTTGGCCAGTTTGAGCTTCATGCGGAAGATCTGCAGCAGACAGAGAGCCATGAGTCTACTGATTGATTGGCGGGCAGGCCGTCGGCGAGCTGACTGACCATGTTTTGGTGTGTGAGCATGCTGAACTCGTTCATGTGCTTCAGTTCCTTCTCCCTCTGATGGACACGCAAACACACCATCCATTCCGCCCACCCACTCTTGGTGGACCTTCTCCCCTTGCCAACGTAAGTACCAGGGTCATGGTGAGTATGCGGCACCGCTCCCTCTCGGCATCCAGCGCCTTCTGCAGCTCACAGCAGCGGACGCTGGCCTCTTCCTTGCCCTCCCTCATCCCTCTGCTGCACTGGACGGCACCTGCAAACGCACCAATGATGAAGGCAGTAGGAAGTGAGTAAAATCAGTGCAGACAGGCTGCTCGTCGGTCTTGCCGTTCTGCGATGCGGTGCGATACAATAAAGGCGTCTGTGTGTCGGCAAGTGTGTGCGAAGGGAAAAAAGACGGGGGCGGGAGGGGGGCGAGGGCGAGCTAAGACGGCGAGGCAGATATTCTTGAACTCGTCCCAGAGCATATATCACATGCCGAAGGTGAAGAAAAAGCGCACCCGGTTCCACGACCTGGCACCTCGGCCTTCATCGCATCATCCACAAGGAGATGAAGACGAGGAGGAGAACCTCACGCCGCCTCGTGGACGCTACCTTGCCGCCTCGAGCCAACCTTCTGCTGCTGCCGCTGCGGCGGCGGCGGCGGCTCCAACAGAGCTGAACGGACCACCGATAGTAGGAGATGTCGTTGAGCGGACAGCTCCCGCACCCAGACTCAGCCGCGGTCAACGCAAGCGTCAGAAGAAAAAGGAGAAGTGGCTGCAGAAGTTCGACTTTGCCGAGTTCATTCGCCAGCAGAAGGAGACTGAGCATGAGTTCGGCGCCGCTGACGGCGGCCCTCTGGGGACCATGGGCGACCTCGAGGCCGACCTGGCGGAGATAGAGAGGCGCGCTGAGGAGGCGCCAGAGGACAGCAAGAAGCGAAGCCGGAGGAAAGGGGCGCGGCAGAAGGACTGGCAGGCCATGGTTGAGCAGGAGATACGGCACTACGAGCGGGTGCGGAGCTTCCCGCCCTTCCAGGCCGACCCCTACGGCGCCCTCGAGCAGCACATCAAGAACACCCTCAAGCGGCAAAAGCAGGAGGAGGAGAAGAGGGAGAGAGAGAGGGCCGCCAGGAGGCAGGCGAAGCTGCAGAGGAGGGGAGAGGGGCAAGGGAGGATGGAGGGGGTGGAGATGGAGGGGGTTGAGAAGGATCGTGTGAGGAAGGAGGGCGGCAAGCAGGACAAGCACCAAAAGATGCGGGAGAAGATGCGGCAGAAACGCAAGAACAGGAAGGGCAAGATGGATGTGGACTCTTGACTCATGGATGGTTGGATGGATGGTTGGCTTTGTGTGCTATGCTGTGAGCGTTTTTTCCGTGTGTCCTGCCTGATGGATGGATGGATGGACGGTGAGACCCTTGGACGGACAGATGGATAGTGTGGGTAGATTGAACACGGAACAAAGATGTCACATAGTCAGAGGGCAAGGTCACGTTCTCCAAAAACACACATAGGGGGGGCCGTCAAGGGGAACGACAACGCATCAACACAGACAGACAAGACACGAAAATTGATCGCATCACGGCCACGAACGAAACAAAGGAAAACGGTCAGTCGATTGGCCCACAACGCACAGCCATCACGGAGCTGCCACGGATGGACGGCCGCATCTGCAGTGGGGGGGTGGGGGGCCGGGTCTACCGCTTGCCGAGGTTCAGCTGCGCCATCCGCGTGTTCATCCTGAAACACCCATCAGCCCACACACATGCATGGCTTGCTGCGTAAGGCAGAAACTGGTTCCATCCATCCATCCATCTATCCATCGTGTATGTGTGCGTGAGACTGACTTGGTGTCTTCCTTTTGTTTGGCATCGTCCTCCCTCTTCTTCTTGGCCTCCTCGCGGCGACGCTTCACCTCCTCCAGCCTTTGTCACATACACACACACACACACACACACAGTGGAGTCCTCACTGATGGCACCCACATTTGCTGCTCTTCTGCTCTGGCTCACCTGGCGAGGTCTGCCTGCGCCTCGACGGTCTTGCCCTCACGGTGGGCTTTCTGAACGCAAAATGACAAACACGCGACAAGAGGTGTGTCCATATAGGTCGATCTGCACGTGACTCTGGTGCTGGTGCTGGTGTGTGTGTGTGTGTGTGTGTCTGTGTGGTCACCTCATATGCGGCCTTCTTTTTCTGTTTCTCGAGCTCCTCCTTCTGTTTTCTCGTCAGCTCCACACCGGCCTTTTCCTCAATGCGCTTCGAACGGTTGGGGTTCTCGACGTCAATCAGCTCGCCTACGGCGTTCTGGGGACCAAAGCCAAGACGGTAGGACGACCAGTGATGAGTGCATTGATGAGCGAGGGCCATGGCATATAATGCGTACCTTCTTTTCTTTCTCCTTGACCTCCTCCTGTGTGGACACAACAACAACCAGACACACACACATGCAGGCAGGCATGTGCAGGCATGTGTCTGCCTGCCTGTCGGCGGGTGTGTGCATCTCCCACCTGTTCCTCCTCTTCTGCCTCTTGGTCGAATTCGAGGTCGTCTTCCTCCTCCTCGTCGCCTTCGCCCAGCAGCTCCTTGGCCTTCTTGGCCTTCACCTCCTCACGCTGCTCGCGAACTGGCACACACACACACACACACACACAGACACGACCACAACCACAACCACAGCCAAACCAAAGGCTGGATGATGCATCGTGTGTCTTGTCCTCAGTGATTGCATCTGCTTTCCTCACTTTCGTCCCAGTCCATCTCCCGGTTGCGTGCCATGATGTCTTCCGCAGATGAACCGCCTCGCCCTCTCCCTCGGCCGCGTGGCTTCCCGCGACCCCGACTGCCGCGCCCACGCCCTGACATGACGGAAACAAGGCAGGGAACGACAGAACGCAGACGACGTTTGCGAGCTTGATAGCGATGGTTTGCAGCTCGCACGAGAAGGCGCCTAGGGTGCTGCTACTCTCAGTGGTGAAGCAAACAACGCGTCCTTCTTGATCAACAACGATATTGTCATCTCTCTCGGCGTGATGAACGCGGATCAGATACTTCTCGGCTACCCGGAGAAGCCATCTAACCCCGCCCTCCTGCACCGCCGCTTCTTCCCATCCAAAGTGGGTGGCCAGCCTGCATGGCTCAACCCGCAACACCTCCCACCACTCAGCGACCTCCAGTGCCCGAGATGCCGCACACCCATGACCTTCATCCTGCAAGTCTACGCCAGCCTCGATGCGTCAAGCTGCTTCCACCGGACCATCTTCCTCTTCGGCTGTCAGCCGTGCGGCAACCAGTTCGTGGCGATGCGCAACCAGCTGCCGCGGGACAACGCATTCTACCCATTCGAGCCGCCGGACACCGACAACGTGTCGGGTGTCGGTGATGAGGAGGAGGATGAGTTCAAAAGCCTGCTGTGTCCCGTATGCGGGCTGCCGAAGGGGGACGGTGAAGCCGGTTCTTCGCCTGACACATCGCCAGCTGCGAAGGAGGGCCGGAGGGGTGATGATAAGGCGGCGTTGATACCCCGCGGGCATCGTCGGTGCCGTCGTGTGTCTGAGGATGGCATGCTGGTGGGCGTGTTCGAAGAGTATGAGCTGGAGGTGGACGAAGAGGGCGAGGAGGATGCTGATAAACAGGTGAGGGGATGACATGAGCAGATCACCACGTTAGGGGTTGGGTCATTTGATTGATGAAGGATGGAGAGGCCGTTTTCTGTGTTGATTGTTCGCTCGCTCGATCAGGGAGACTACTCCCACGAGATGGAGCTCAAACGGCGATACGACGAAGTCGCCAAGGACAACCCTGGTGAGCACCAAGCATGGGGTGGGATCATCACAGACAATAGTGTACGTGTCCACCTGCGTATGTGTATGTGCATATGTGTGCGTGTGTGCCAGATGCGACCCTCGACGAGTCCGAGCAGCAGTTCTTCGAGGAGTTCGCCCCGCCCTCATGCAGAAACGACGACACCTTCCAAACCTTCCTCAAGCGGGTCCGCACCAACCCCGGCCACGTTCTCCGTTACGCATACGAGGGCGCCCCTCTGTGGTTCGCCTCGGCCCAGCAGCTGGAGGACGGCCCGCCCGACTGCGACACGTGCGGGTCGCCCCGTGTGTTTGAGTTCCAGGTGCAGCCTGAGCTGATCCACCTGCTGAAGCTGGATAAGCTGGAGTGGGGTATACTGGCGGTGTACACGTGTTCGGCCAACTGTGGTGGGGAGGGCTATGTGAAGGAGTTCGTGTACAGACAGCCTGAACCCATGTAGATGTATGCTGCCAGCCAGGCAGGGAGGCAGGGAGAGGGATGTTTGGTAGATCTGACATTGCAGATGACAGTACTCTTGTGCATTGTTTATTGGGGCGATGCTGTTGGTCAACCGAAGGGTGCAAAAGGTCCTGGTGAAAGCAAAATGGCGGCGAGGCCATGATCGACGTATGATCGAAATGGGCTGCAGATGTTCCAGATGCTGCGGGTGCGCAAAGAGGGCTTCTCAAGATCCCAACGGCCGTGTGTTGAAGCCCTCTGCACCAGATCTCAAAAAAGCTGAGTTGATGGACAGCAGCACCACAGGAGAGGCCAACAGAAAGAGGGATGCGGAAGAAGCGGAAGCAGCAGCCGAGGGCTACAAGACCCCTGACAACAAAGCAAAGAGGCCGAAGTGGGCGCCCCAGACCCTCCATGACTTCCTCCACACCCACGGCCAAGGACTGTCGAACCTGCAGCACCTGGAGGAGCAGCTCAGGAACAACGGCGTTCACGAGCTACACACGCTGGTCCGCCTGGCGGAGACGCCCTCACAGCTGGAGAGCCTCTGCAAGAACTTCTGCAAGATCGACGAAGGCGATACGCAGCTGCTGAAGAAGCTGCTTACCACGGACGCGGCGCGTGATCAGAAAAGGGGCGACCTGGCTGATTGGCTCGGCCGGCATGGACTGCTGCACCTGGAAGAGCAGCTGCAGAAGGCAAGCAACCAAGCAGAGAGAGATGTGAATGCACTCATCTCTTTATGTGTGATGGCTATGTGGGTGCATGCAGGTGTCCCTCCCCGATCGTCGTGAGGGCATCTTTACTCTGGATGACGCGCGGCAGCTGCAGGCCATGCTGCGGACGCAGTCGCGGCAGGATAGGGACGACTGCCTCTCGGCCATCGTCCACCCGGTGGACCGCTGTCGCTTCTCGGACCTGCTGGGCAGCATACCGCCCAGGCAGAGCGACAAGACGTTCCGAATTGTGTCGGATCGCATCTAGTGAGCCGACCAGATGCGAAAGAGAGAGGGAAAGCGTGTGAATGGATATGTGTGTGTGTGTGTGTGTGTGTGTATCCTTCATGCAGCGATTCGATGTCCTTCGACCGTGAGTTGTTCAGTTTCATCGACACGCCGCAGGTGCAGCGGCTGAGGCGCCTCAAGCAGCTCGGCGCCTGCCATTTGGTCTATCCGGGGGCCGTGCACACACGATTCGAACACTCACTGGGCGTCGCGTATCTGTCCAAGATCGCCTTCGAGAACCTAGTCATGTGGGGCGGACAAGAAAACATCAGGAGTGGCCACTTCATCTCTCTCCCTGTGTGTGTGTGTGTGTGTAGGAAGTCGGGTGTGAGTGTGACTGATGTGGAGGTGCAGCGGTTGGTGCGGCTTCTGCAGATCGCAGGGGTGTGTCACGACCTCGGCCATGGCCCCTACTCGCACACGTACGTGAACAACAGACAACACCACTGATCCATCCATCATTCCATCCATCCATCCATTTAGCAGGTTCGAGCACGCCTTTGTGCATCGGCACCTGGGGCTGAAGGAGTGGTGCCACGAGGACATGTCGCTCAAGCTGTTCGAGTACCTCATCGACAACAACACGACGGCGGGTGAGGTGATTGATGCACTCAATGGCCGCACGACTGTCAAGGAGATGATCGAAGGGTCAGTCAGTGGGACACAGACGAAAGACACTCTCACGCACCCACCGCACCGCGATCTCTTTCCTTCTCTGCCTCCGTGGGTTTCTTCAGTATCGACCCCACCCAGCATCGTGTGGTGGGCGACCACCCCATCTTTGCACTCGAGCGGGCGGCGTATGACATCGTCAACAACAAGAGGAACGGCCTCGACACGGACAAGTGAGAACGGCATCTCGCTCAGCTCGAGAACGGCATCTCAGCTCAGCTCACACCCACACAAACGGATCGTGGACGTGTGTACGTGCGTATGGTGTGGTGTGGTGTGTTGCATGTCTATAGGATGGACTACCTCCAACGAGACGCCAGCACATCGCCCAACTCCCTGCCAAAGTGAGAGTGAGAGCAGCAAAAGAATCACGCCGCCCTGTCCATCAGTGACTCGTTCTCTCTCTCTCTCTCTCTCTGTGAAGGTACAACCCCGGCCGTCTGCTGCGTTTCGCCACGGTGATGCCTGACGGCGAGATCTGCTACAACAGCAAGGAGGTGCCGGCAGTGGCCGAGCTCGTCCAGACACGATTTGTACGCACACAGACAGACAGACAGACAGACGACCTGCTCTCTTCCCCACACGGACGGCATTGTTTTCTCGTTCTGCGTGTGTCAGCGTCTGTTCAAGATTCTCTACACGCACAGGAAGACCCTTGCCTTCGAGGCCATGGTGGGTGGGTGGCCGAACCACACACACAGAGACAGACAGACAGACATACACGCATCAATGCACCCATCCATGTGTGTGTGTGTGTGTGTGTGCAGAAGACTGACGCCCTTTTTCAGGCGTCCAAGGCCCTCGGCCTCAGAAGGATCATCGAGGTGGGCGACACACACAGACACACAAGCACACACACACAAAAAAAGCATAGACGGATGTGAGTGATGTCATGTGATTGATGCCGATGCAGGAGAAAGACTGCGAGGGCTATCTTCACCTGACTGACAATATCGATGACGTACGCACTCACGCACACACACCAGACACGCACGGGACACAGACACAGCACGCCACAGCCCAGCCATCGCTATATAGGCTGTCTGACCGTATGCGCCGTCAATGTCCGTCCGCAGATCATCCGCCAGCGGCAGGACAGCTTCTGCGACCCGGGCATACAGAGGTCCGCTGAACACCTGCCCTGCACACACACACACGCGCACTTCTGACGGTTGGTTTCGGTCAAGCAGGGCCAAGGAGCTCTTCAGGCGCATCGATTGCCGCAACATATACCGATTTGTCGGTAAGTGAGGGAGCCACCAAGCAGATAGATCGGCATCGTTTTTTACTGGTGCAGCCGAGTACGTATTCGACAAAAAGGAAGACATACAGCTGTGCGAGAACTTGGGGGTGGACGAGCTCAACGAGCTCATTGCCAAAGGAGCGGTGGGTGAGCTACACAACCAGCGCCTCGATCATCAGCCAGCCAGCCATCTGGCTTTCTTCCCTCTCTCCATCCCTCCCTCCTTTTGTCAGGGCGTGTGTCCCTCTGACATCGTTGTGGACAGTACGTACACTTGTCCATGGGCAAACACCACCACCACCATGGATGGCTCCTCTGTGTGTTGTCCAGTGTCCAAGATCCACCACGGCAGCAAGGACAAGAACCCCCTAGACTTTGTCGGATTCTACACCGAGACGGCCGGAGGTACCCACGCAGGCAGGCAGGCAGGCGCTCACCCACCCAGAGGAAGGCCTGTGCTGTGTGTTTGTGTGTGTGTGTGGCTCGCTGTGTGATGCAGAGGGCGGTGTGCCGTATGCGGTGAAGATCGAGGGTGAGGCCGAGAAGCGCAACCTCATCAGCGGGGCACACACCAAGAGCAGGTGGCAGGAGTTACGGCTGCTCGTGCTCATCAAGGAACAAGACGAAAACAAGGTAGGTGAGCTCACACACATGCCGTCACACCGCACCGACCCAGACACCCACACAGAGTGAGTGTTGGTGTGCCAGTTTGATGCGGTCCAGAACGCGTTCAACAGCATTCTGCGCCATAAACTGCACGTCACTGACGCCATGGCAAGCCCCATCCACCCACCCACTTAAACAAACCACCTCTCCCTGTCTGTGCGCACCGTGTGTGAATGACAGGTGGTAGGTCAGCGGACCCCCATGTCTGCGACGCCCCATCAGCGGACACCCGAAATCGGCCGGCTGCCGCTGCACCCCCACGCGCAGGAGCAGCGACCAACGGACCTGCTGCCGCCCGTCCGCACGCACGATGGGCAGTTTCGCCAAGCCAGCAGCTAATTGTAGATAATTGGGTGTTATGATGGTCCGTTGCTTAGTTGGCAGCCATTGTAGATTATGTTGTTGCACGTGTTTTGTTGTGACAGTGGGTGTAGGTATAGCTTCAGCACTGGTAGCTTTTGTGTGTGTGTGTGTGAGTGTGTGGTTGGTTGGTTAAGACGACGAGTGCTAGGTTGTCCTACAGATGGCTGTGTGTGGTATCGATGAACTTTTGACGTTGACGCGTAGGTACCCACACAAATCAATGTGTAGCTGTCTCATGCAACAAAGTCGCTCACATCAGACCCGCCTGAGCTTTCCTGCGTCCACTGCCTTCTGTCCCTCTCCGCCTCCTCGGTACGGCAGCGTCTAGTGTATGTGCAGACACTGCCACGCCAATGAGGAGAAGGTGGCAAGAAGTCAGCCGCAGGCGAGCACCAGGATCGCACCGCACCGAACCATCAAGTCTTCCTTCCTCCGAACATACACACACACACTATTCACGGCCAGATAAAGGAGGAACACACGGCCTGTCGGTCTGCCTGCAATGCTCCCCTCAGCTCGTGTGAGGGGCGTCAGCTGTGAGCGTGCTACGATGGCGGCAAACGGCTTGTCGCTTGCCGCCATCATGCGCCGCCCTCGACTGACGAGACACACACGAACTCGTGGGGCCAATGCTCTCGACATACACAGACAAATAGATACCGTATAAAGGTCTCCCACACCATCACACAGACAGACAGACACACACACAGACAGACACTCACACACACTATGGACTGCCCCCCACCAGCCATCCATCCATCCATCCATCCACTAATACTGCATCGGTGGCGGCCCATAGACGCCGCTTCCATAGCCATAGTGGCCGTAGCCGTACCTGTGTCGCTCCTCCGCATCATAAGACGGCGGCGCGCCCACCGGCCACCCATAACCGCCCCCGCCCACATAATGCTGTGGGCCATACCCATACGCACCACCACCACCAGCAGCGGCGGCAGCAGGAGGGCCGGCATAATACGGCGGTGAGGGCAGCGCCGCCATTGGTGGGTGAGCATGAGCGTGTGGATGAACGTGTGGGTGTGGCGGCAGCAGGGGAGAGGTGGGGAGATATGGCTGCTGCACCTGGTGCCGGGCCGGCTGGCGGGGCGATGGAGTGCGTCTGGTGGGGGGCTGTTTGCGCGACTGTCTTGCCGAGCGTCTGTTGCACCTGCATGGGCGGGGGAGGAGGTCGCACCGGGAGAAGAGCACCAGCACCGACAGCAGCATGCCGATCACCACTACTGACTTCCTGTGTATGTGTGAAGGGCAGGGCAGCCAAGGCATCAACAGAGAGAGAGCTTCCTGAGGTTGTCTGTTTGTGTGGGGTTCCCTCCCTGTCTGTTTCTGTGGGAGTTAACTTACCACGACAGGTGGCGCACGAAGGCGTCGATGCCGAGGGCGACGTTCTTGGCGAGTATCTGTGAGCGCTTCGCCAGTGGTTCGTGGCCCGTCTCCATGCACGCCTTGTACTCGCTGCAGCCAACCAGCACAATTGTGTGTGTGTGTGTGTGTGTGCGTGTCTGTGTTGTTGACCGACCGGCACGGCTCAAAGAGTGCGGGGAACTTGCAGCCCTCTTGGGAAAAACACAACTCGCACCTGAGCAGACGGACACGCCATATGGGAGAGAGAGTGTGTGTGTGTGTGTGTGCAGGTCACTGTCTGTCTCACTTGTTGCTCTCATATTTGTCTCGGCAGGCCAGCCGCTCCTCCATTTCGGCGCGAGTGATGCTCTAACGGATAACAGACAGAGGCAAGTGATGCTGCGGGGCGTTGGTTGGCCGAGTAGGTGGTGGCTCACTCACGTCAGCTTCATAGGAGGCGTCCGAGTGAGGCAGGTAGACGAAGTTGTACACCAAACCAACTAGAACCTGACACACACACACACATACACACACACACACAACAGACGCACAACACATACACACAACAAGAATCGACAGACGGCCTTTCTCCCTCCCTCCCCCACCCTCCCCCACCCACAACTCACCAGGACGAGGCAGACCGTCACAGCACACTCCCTCACGCTACCCCAGAACCCATCCCGACCGTCGCCCTCACTCTCCTCCTCCACCTCCACCTCCTCCTCGCCCCTCTCACCCACACGATACCCACCATAACCATCCCCAGCCGCCCGACGCCGCACCAACCCGCCGCCGCCATAGCCCTGCTCGAATGGGCGCCACGGCTGCTGTGAGCGCGTCGGCAGGCCGGGAGGGGGTAGGGATGGGGGAGGCGGGGGTCTGTAGCACTCGATGGCCGTCATGGGGGCGGGCTGCTGCTGGGCGGGAGAGGGGCGCTCAGCGGCTGCTGCTGCTGCTGGGCGAGGGGCAGGGTCAGGGGAGGGGGTAGGGGCATGTGTGCGGAGGATGGCTTGGCTGATCCGTGATAGAAACGAGCTACGGGAGGGCGCTGCTGCAGCCAGCGGGACATAACAGGTCAGTCAGGGCACACAGGTCGACGAGCATTCTCCCTCCCTCGCCATCTATCTCACCTTGCCCTTGCTGTGTTTCCTTCTTATCAGCGGCTGCTGCATCCTGCATGACGACGTCTGCGTCTGCCGCCGTCCCGTCAACCGTGCCCTCAGCCGTGGTGGTGTCGTCCTCCCCGCCCTTGAAATACCGACTCCAGCTACGCAGCAGACCCTCCTGCACACAGCAACCACACACACACGGATGCCCGCACACCTGCATGCCATGCCATCCTCTCCTCTGCCTCCCCGCTGACCGTGACGTGTTGTTTGTCGGCAGTGCGCGAGTCGCGCCTCTGCTTGGGTGCCTTGGGTGCCGCCCTGAGGCGCATCACCGGCTCATCAGCGAGATCCAGTGCGTCGAGGGAGAGCGTGGGAGGGTCAGTGTACTCGAAGTCCATCTCGTCTTTGCCGCTATCGTCAGAGTGGCGGAACGCACTCATCCTTGCGTCTAATACGGCACGCGGTCCTCTTCACACTTCCTCCGCAGCGCTTTTTTGCACCAACTAAGCTCGCAATGAAACCCTTGACCCATCAAACCCTTAACCCGACGACCCGTCATCATGGGGAAGATGACAACAACGTGCGGAGCTCGCAGGGGCGGCTGAGGCTTTCATTGCTGCATTTGTCTCGCCAGAGATCTCGTCACTGGCCTGGAGAGATCGAGAGATCTGGCTATCTGGCGATGCCCACCCACTTCCGGCCCTGCATCGACCTCCACAACGGCAGCGTCAAGCAGATTGTCGGCGGCACCCTCACAGACGACACACACAACAGCCAACAGTCGGCATCGGCATCATCATCCCTCAAGACCAACTTCGTCGCGCCTCCCGAGCAGGACGCCGCCCACTTCGCCCGCATTTATCGTCGCGACGGGCTGGTGGGCGGCCATCTGATCAAGCTGGGACCCAACAATGACGCGGCAGCCGTGTCTGCGCTCGAGGCGTGGCCGCACGGTCTGCAGGTCGGTGGCGGCGTGACCGACGTGAATGCGCTCCAGTGGCTGGAGAAGGGCGCCTCCAAGGTGATAGTGACGTCGTGGCTCTTCCCCGACGGCAAGCTCTCCTTCGAGCGGCTGATGCGGCTGTCCAAGCTCGTGTCGCCCGACCGCCTGGTCGTGGACCTCAGCTGTCGGCGAGTGGACAAGAGGGGCGAGGGCGGGGAGCTCGGGTGGGTTGTGGCCATGAACAGGTGGCAGACGCTCACCGACTTCTGGCTGACCAAGGAGTCACTCGCACAAGTGGCCGCCTACTGCAGCGAGTTCCTCGTGCATGCAGCCGACGTCGAGGGGCTCTGCCGGGGCATTGACGAGGAGCTGGTGGCTGCCCTGGGCGAGTGGAGCGGTGTGCCGTGCACCTATGCGGGTGGGGGGAGGGACCTGAGCGACCTGCAGACGGTGGACCGGCTGAGCAAAGGTCGTGTTGACCTGACGTTTGGGAGTGCTTTGGACATCTTTGGTGGTGCGCTGGTCAAGTATGACGACTGTGTGCGGTGGAACAGGGAGCACCCGAGATAGATAGATTGATGAGGCATGGAGGGGAAAGTCGTGTGCGTGTGGTCATCGGGTTGATGAGAGAGTGACGTGCATCTGTCGTGGCATCTATCGTTGTGACTGGTTGGTGTTCATGAGAAGGAGTGGATGTGGACTGTCAGACACCGTATTGTAACAATGACATCTTCAAACGAGAACGGGGTGGTGCATTCATTCACAAAGCGAAAGAGTCACAAAGCGAAAGAGTCCCTGCAGACATGCCCCGCACCTCTGAGTTGGGGGAAACGCGAAGCTCGCACGATTCGGCTGGGGATCTTCTCTTGACCTTTAAGAGCCTTCCTCGCACCGAGGACAGCAGCGCACATGGAGAGGAACAAAGATCTGCCACCGTCCTCTGTTGAGCACCCGCTGGAGTGTGCCTTTCTGGAACTGGTGCAGCTCACCGGTCAATGTCGACTCACGGCATCCTCAAGGCACTCATCCGCGTCGGCGGCATCAAGCGCACGTGCCCGCTTCAGCCTGTCGGATGGGCAGCTGGAGGTGTGGCTGGAGAGAGATGGAGAGGCCTTTGCGGCCATCCCGCTGCATCACGGAGGGGACGACGGTGAAGACGGCACCTCCTGGAGTGATGACATCGCTGGAGAGCTCACGCAGTCAGCCTCGCTTTGTGTGACCGAGAGCAGCTGTGGTGAGGATGGTGGGCAGGTCTGCTTGTGGAGGCTGCGGTTTCGCATCGGCGACTCTGCTGCCGTGAGGGCGATGCTCATGAGGAGGCAGGGGTCGGGCGAGGTGGACCGCTTGCAAGCGCTGGAGAGCTTCGCCCCAGCCTGCAGGTCAGTCAGTCAGCTGGACAGACGGATGGCTGCCAAGCGGTGGACACGCTCATTGTGTTGTTTGCTGCGTTGTCAGGTGCTGCGGGGCTGAGCTGTTGAAGCTGCCCAAGTGCCGCTTCGCCGCTCTGCCATCGACACTCTACACAGGCTTTGCTGACAGCCTCGCCTGTGAGGAGTGCCCCCCTCTCCCATCATTCGACCCTTCCGAACTCTCATTCCCAGCGGAATCAGCCACCAACGACCAGCCTCGCTCACGAGGTGCCCAGCGGCTGCTCTCACTCAGCAGTCGGCTCTCCCAGAGGGCCTCTCCATCTGCCGCCGCAAGACAACCACGCACCATTGGCGTCGACCGTCACCATCTGGTGGTCCCTCTGTGTGTTCCGTCGACACGCACCAAGGCCTTCGTGGCCCACAAGTGCTATGAAGGGCGCCTGGCGGTCGGCGGGCTGGACAATGGGCAGATCGGTGGTCACTCGTTGAGTTGTGGAGAGTGCAAATCGGCGGTGGGAATGGCGGCTGCTGGCGAGGGCGGTCGGGGGATGGTGGGGCGGCTGTGGAAGCAGGCCATATCGGTGGGCGATGTGATGGACGCCTACACCGAGGAAACGGCCATAGCTGCACTGGTGGGTATGCGTTAGCAGAACAGGAATGCGACCACTGATTGATTCCCTCTGTGTGTGTACGAGCAGATCGAGACAGCTGCGTCCGAGTCGGGGCTGCATCGACTGACAGCGCACTCATCCGAAAGTGAGAGTGACGACAGCATCGAGCTGATCATTGCCCTGCGCGACGTGGCTACCCGGCGATGGAGGCCACAAGGAAGCGACGGGCCGACGGCGGACCCAACAAACATCCAATGGCGACGTGCAATGAAGGTGAGTGAGTGCAGCGGGTAGCTGTGGATGAAGACCAGACCATGTCGTGTAACTAATGTGCTGGGTGCGGTCGGTCTGTCAGGTCATGTATCGAGCTGTTGTGTCTGGAGGTGCGGTCACGGCTCGCGCCTCGGCTCAATGGGACCTGCCTCCACGGCTTTATAAGGTGAGGGAGCACAGGCCGCGTGAACAAACGTGACCGCGGTGAACTCAGCTCAATCATTATATTGATGTGTGTGTGTGTGTGTGTCACTCAGAGGCTGTCAGTGGCGCTGGCTGAAGGTGTGGATGGCGACTGTGGTGGCAGCAATGGCAGTGGTGACGAGCGTGTGAGTGCGACTGAGTGGAAGGTGGCCTACCTGAACCTGCCACCCCTACTCTGAAGCGTCAACACAAGGGGGTCAGTTGCATGGCGATAGATAGATGGCACACATAAACGGCTGCACGAGAGCAGTGCGTGTGTGCATCGAGCAAGAGACACACAGAGGACAGGCAGCAAAGATGAGCGATGCTAGCTACGGACACATCTGAGACATGCTTGCTACGGCAGCGGCAGCAGCAGCGTGCTACAATCCAACCCGACATGTGCTGTCTTGCTGCGAGGTGGATCTACTACACATACCAAAGCACCGACGCAGCTAGGCAGCATAGACGAATGACACCCCCCGTCTACCGTCCTCCTGGGTGAGTTGGGTGAGTTGTTCGCGGGCCGCCTGTGGCTGCTCTTGTTGCTGCTGCTGCAGCAGCTCCTGAACGTCGGCCCCGCTGGTCCCGAGCTGGGCTGAAGTACGTGTGGTCTTTTTGAAGAGGGTACGCAGCTCTTCTGCACACAAACCAAAACCACCATACCATCCGATTCATGAGACTCTCCCTCTCTTGCCCTGTCTTTGCACACTTGCCCACCCACCTTTCATGGTGTCATGACGAGAGAGCTGCAGCGCAAGCGACAGACAACACGCACACACTCACACACACACAGACACATGCTCTGGATATATGCACTATCTGCTGAATCGTTCTGTGCGTACGCGTACCGACATCCGTCCCGGCCCGGCCAGCCGCCTGAGTCGTTCCTCCAGCTCCCTGACCTGCCGAGTCAGCGACTTCCATATCGTGAAGTCCGATGCCGGCGGGTAGATCCTCCGCTTCCGACGGCAGCTGAAGGCGTCCCGCCCCCTCAGCACGTCCTGCAGCCCTTTGGGCAGTTCGCGGCCCCAGTGGACGACCCGGTCCGACTCGAAGATGGAGATATTGCGGCCAGGGGAGGAGAAGGGCGAGGGCGAGGGAGACACGCTTGATGAAGCGGCTGCGGCTCTGCCTTCGGTGCTGCATGCACGTGACAGAGGACGTCTGTCTGTGTTGTGAGAGGTGACAGTGTGATTGCATACTTCTTTTGTCTGTATCGGAAGTAGTTGTAGCAGCTGGGCCAGTAGTAGTCGTGAAGGTCCAATATCTCGTCCTGCAGACAGCCACGTCCATGTGTGGTCTGCTGTTGTGCAGTGTCTCACGTACCGGGGGCCGTGTCTTGATGTCTTGTCGGTGCTCGTGCGTTTTCTCGCGCAAACGTGGCAGCCATAAGTGCTCTACCGCCCACTCTACATACACACACACGCGTCCAGAGCAACGCCAGGAGAGACACGTAGACAAACAGAGACACGTAAGAGCTTTCCTTCTGCCCAATGCCTACCGTCCTCCATGAGCTGCCTCTCTATCTTCCGCCGAATGATGTCCGGTCGATCAGGCAAAGAGTCCGCCGCCACAGGCCGCTCACACTGTGACCCCTCAACCACCACGGAAGCCACAGAGGCCCTGGCCTCCACCACCACAGTGGCCCTCCGGCCTTGTTTCTCTTTCCCTTCTCTCGGTTTGGCCATGTCGCTGCGCCGCCTCCCTTCGTGTTGATGATGCCGCGGCTGCCGTACGGATGACACCGATGTGCGCTCGGATGCATCGCCAGTGCTGGTCCTGCTGCTGCGATGGTCGACAGGGGGGAGGAGGGGGGAACGGGTCGACGGTTACCGAGGGACGCTCTGCGGGGACGCAATTGTCAGGCTCATCCGCCGGCCTTTGCCGCCTGCCGCGGGCGAAGTCGGGTCGAGGCATGACGGCATAGGCGTCGAGTATGGCCTGCCGTCCGTCGCTGATCCTCAGCTCGTCCCTCTTCTCGCTGTCTGCGAGGGAGACGGGCTCTGGCGGTTTCTTGCTCACTGATGGAAGGGGCGACGGAGCCAGGGACTTGACGGATCGCTGTTGCTCCTTGCCCGCCTTCCTGGCTTTCTTCTTTGGCCGCTGGGGTGCGGCCTGTCGGAGAGATGGGAGGGACGTGTCATGGTGAAGGTTGGGCTGCGACTTGTGGCCGCGGTGCACATGTCGAGAGCCCTCCGTCGCCTCGACAATGGGGGGCAGGGGGGACGTCGAATGAGCTATGGGTGGGTCAGGGAGGGGCAACGGACGCAAGATGCTAATCTGCGGGAGACTGCGGGTGTTCGGCTGGCCTTTCCTCAGGGGTTGAGGCTCCTGGCCTTTCTGCAATGCACAGCAATCATTACAGTGAGTGCCTTGTGAGTGGCCACTGGCCAGTGCGGATTTCTCTCACCTTTGTCGCGGGGCTTCTGCGTTTCGCTCTGAGGCAGTCGCGCGCCATCTGTTTAGCCGGATGGTCTGACGGCAAGTGTGTCTGCGCCAAAGTATCAGCCTCCTGGTATAGCCGCTGGTAAGACGCAAAGGCATGAACAGATGCAACCTTTTTCCCCGTCTGTGTCTTGGTTCTGTCGTCTTACAAGCACTTCCTCGTGATGGCTTCTGCCCAGGGCCTTTGTGTGCTCCAGCTCTGCCGAGGAAAGATCATGCATTCAACACATTCGCTGGTTGCATCAGTGTCTCCATCCTGCTCAGGGTACCCGATGCCAGATGGTGGCGAGCCAGCACCGCCGTGACACACTGCACGGACACACAATGGCTCATGCAGTACGGGCACACAGTTGTGATTTAGAACTATGATCTCATTGCTCACTGCCTCCTGCAGAAAGTCGGCCGCCGGTGGCTTGTGTTTGTAGGTCTTCAGCTGCAGCAGACAATCCGCCTCAACAGCCGAACCCCGAGCTTGCTGACACGCATGGCGGTGCTGGCCCAGCTCTGCATACACAGCAATGCCAGTGCAAGAAAGGCATGGCGGTGCTGCTTATCTTACTCGGCAGAAGGATGCTGGCATTGAGCCTGGTTCTTGATCTTGACAGAAGAATGGTATGGTGTGTTGCGACGCTTTCCGGGGCGACCAGGCAGCTCTCCAGGGCCTTGCGCAGATACAGCAGTGCAGTGTTGAAGTCGCCCTTACTCCTGTGGAAGAGCGCGAAGCTGCGCATACAGACACACGCGAACACGTCCAACATAATGATTCCATTGCAGAATGAGCACTGAAGGCGGTTCACCTGTTGTATAAAGTGAGAAGGGAATTCAGCACCGTCAAGGCGTTGTAGTGCGAGAGCTTCGACAGGTCATCGGTTGCCAAGCTGTTGATGGCGGTCTCAGCCTTCACCGCGGCCGCACTCTTGTCTGCAGTGAGGGGCACCGGCGGGATAGCAAAAGCCGCCTTCGGAGCATCGGTACTGCAGTATGCCGACAGATACCGGAGGGACGCCATCGCGGGGGAGAGACGGGAAACTGCCACTGGCTGGGGGTCTCAATTGGGGCCCAACTGAGATCGCGGGGATCGCGGCGTGGGGTGGAAATGACGTATCAGACGCACGAGGAGGCCTCTGCTGAGGCTACTGACAGCATGCAAGACCAGCCCCAGCCTATCGCATCGTCCCCGCCCCCTGCAGGAGCGGATGCCAAGCCCCAGCCCGTCACAACAGTGCAGGCCGAACGCGAGGAGCTGGGGCGGCTGGAGAACGAAGTGGCCCACCTGGAATCCGAGCTCGAAGACGCTCGTGGCCGCCTTGAGGAGAAAAGGAAGAGCGAGGCCGTCCGAAGGATAGGAGAGATAAAAAGACGGATTGAGGAGCTGAGGAGGTACGATGCCGACCACATGGATGAGCGGTTGGCCCTGCGGGATGCCGTGCTGGAGCTTAAGGTCAAGCAGGAGGCCATACAGAAACGGCAAGGGGATTGCGACAAGATTGTGAGGGAAAAGGACATTGAGGATGCAAAAGGCAGGGCGGCTTTGCAAGAGCTGCAGAGGGAGCAGATTCAGCACCATATGGACGTCTTGGACAGACTGCTCAAACTCAAAGAGGTCAGCCCTCCTGCGTCGATGTACCATCCTACCGGGCAGTCATGTATGCGGTGCATGCAGGGCCAGCTGGACGCCATCACGGAGAAATGGCAGCGCCTGGACCAATACAACATCGAGTGCCTCAAGGACGCAGCCACATCGACCATTCTCTTCTCACCCATTCTCGACACTCCTGAAGCCCTTGCAGCCATCAAGGAGACATCGGCTCTGGACCCATCAAACGCCCCGACCGCCGACACACTTGTAAAGCGGCTTGCTGACCAAATCATGGAGAATCTCACGAAAGAGCACCGGGCAGAGACCACAGCAAGGAATAAGGAGATCCAACGGCTGAATGAGAGGCGGCTGGAGCTTCACACCAACCTCAAGACGACACGAATAAGGCTGCGGCAGCAGGAGTTCCTGTTATCCAAGGGCCAGGCCTTTCTAATGGCCCTGAGGGAAGGCGACAGCCCACCGCTGAAATATATACTGGCCAACCAGATGCCGCAGCAAGAGGACGGCAAGGATGTATATGACTCCATCGCCCAGCCGATGGAGAAGCTCGTCGAGGACGCGAGCATGGCACTGGTGTCTCGGGAGCACAGCACCAAGCAGCTGTGGGAGCGACTCAGGCACTGGCAACAAGAGCTCAAGAAGATCTCTCCTGATGCACAGCTCACCAAGGCTGATGGCTCGCCATTGGGACGCTTCTGCCGCCAGCTGCTCCTGCAATGTGCCGATGCAGCTGTGGACCGCTCCCTCACAATCAACGACGTCCAGGCAGCAGAGGAGAGAAAACAGAAATGGGAAGAGAAGGACGAGAGAGAGCCTTCCCTGACACTCGACTGGCTGAACAAATATGCGGCTGCGAGTGTGGCTTTGAAATACTTGGAGGAGACTGTTTCCGAGGGCGTGCACGAGGTGACGCAGGAAGTGGTGGCTTACGTCAAGGGGGTGGAGAGATACATTGCTGAATCATTCGCATGCGGCATCTACGATGCGGCTGGATACGACGCATTTATTGAGCGGGAAGAGGAGGCTGCAAAGAAAGCAAAGAAAAGGAAATCCCCGGACAGGAAGGTGCAGTGGACTGAGGATAATCCGGCCTACTGGGAGAGCACGTGGGTGTCTCCCATTCCTCTCAGCCGCCACATACACGAGCTGAAGACACAAAGCCAAGGACAGCCGACGTCTCCTGACCATCCAGTGGTCTCACAGATTGCCGATGCCCTTCAACAGATTATCAAGGAGAGAGACGGCGATGAAGCCACAAAGGTCGAGTGGAAAGAAGACCGCACTGGGAGGGTGCAGCCCGACTACTCTGGCATATTTGTCAACGGTGGTGAGTACGACACAGCGGTGTGGTACAGTGGCGGTGGGGTTCGTGACATTCCTGAGCCGGAAGAGATCCCCTTGGACATCGGCGTGTTGCCAATGTATCGCATACCCACTGAGGTACACATCAACATTCATGCCTTGTCAGAATCTTATCTATGTGTGTCCCCTTGCTCGCAGGAACCCTTTGACGAGACGGAAACCGATCGCATGCAGCGTCTGCTTGACGTCTCTACCCATCCTTCATGGGCACGGGAACAAGACTTTGCTAAGAAGCACCTGTCAATCCGAGCGCTCCCCGAGCTGGCCCATGAGAAGAAACACGGCCTGCCATCGGTGCTGTGTGCCTCGACATCCTCTACCCTCGGCCTCGCGCTGGCGATCGGCACTGAGAAGGGCAATATACTGGTGTGGGCGGTGCCCACTCTGCTGGCACAAGCAGAGGGGGAGGCCACTCGGGCGCCTCTCAGCGACATTAGAAAAGAAGAATCGGCTGATGAGGAACAGGAAGAGAAACACGAGGAGCAAAAAGATGGCGAGGAGGAACAAGAGATCGAAAATCCCTCGCCAGCTGCCGCTCTCACTCCAGCTACTCCCTCGGAACAGGGCTTGCCATACTTGACCAACACTACGGCGCGCACTACCAAGATGGCTCATGTGAGACGACTAAGCTTTAGCAGGGGTGCTTCTGATTTGCTCACTATCGACGGGAAGGGAATTTTGCGGATGCTTTCCCTTACTGAAGCTCCACCAGGACGCCGAGGCAAGAAGAGAAAACCGCCCCCACTAGCGTGCCGGCTGGAGCTCAACAATGCGCACTTCGCGCGCAAAGGGGAGGAGGACGATTACAAGCGAAGACCCCAGGAATGGACTGTCTATCGGTCGACATTTCTGCCGTTTTTGAGCCCCTCCGGCCAACAGCCGTGCTTCCTGTTGGGACTTGGTGGCGGGACAGTGGTCAAACTCAACTCACATTTATGCACTGAGGCCGCTGAAGGAGCAGAAGATACTGCTGCTGCTACTTCTTCTTCTACTTCCCTAATCCTGCCGTCGGCCAGCGACGTCGGGCTGCTAAAGGGAGTGGAAGCCCCCAAGCTGCTTTCTCTGGAGGAGGCGGCCAGAAGGGGCCGCGCAAGACCCAAACGCCAACGCAGTATCAAGGACGAGCCCTCCCCGCCCATTCGTGAGTTCTTCTTCGCACACAAGGCCCGCATCGTGGCTTTGGCGGCACCGGCAAAAGCGAGCGAGACAAGTGTACAGGAGATCGTTACCGTGGATGCGGTTGGAAAGATCATCGTCTGGCACTACTCGCTCTCCCAACGAAGCGGCTTTGGCACCTTCACGCCGGTGGAACGATTCCAGCTGATGCTTGAGGATTTCGTGCTCCCCCAGCCGCCAGCCAGCAAATCACGAAGCCTGCAGTTCACGTCTGATGTGCCCCAGCGAGATGAGTTGTTTTCGGAGCTGCCCCTCTTGATCGACCCCACCACGCTGTGTGCCTTCTACTGGCTGCCCAGCACTGAGGGCCCGCAATGTGTGGTGGTGGACCTCTCTGAGCGGGCAGCGGAGAGCGAGATGGAGCGACTCACCGGAGATGTCGACATAGCGACTAAGCAAGAGTGTCTCATCTACCCTCTGACCACTCAGCAGCAGCGACAGCCGGCTAGTGCGAAAACAGACGAGCCAGTGCTTCATCGCAGCCCCTCGCTCATCCCTCTGTTTGAAGACCCTCTTGGCGGCATGGCTGTGCCCGTCATATGTGAGGAAGCGGGAGGCAGGCCGGTCATGGGCAAGCTGATCGACGTCAAGACTAACCCACCTCAGCGACATATCACCTTCTGCTACTCTGTGGAGGGCAGCTTCCGCTTTGTCATATTCGACGTCCGGAATCGGCGCCTGTTGCCGGTCAAGATCCACATGCCCTCTACAGCTGATCTGTCGGCCCCTGCCCCTGCTTTTGAGCTCTCTGTGTGGGGTGATGTCTTGTGGGTCATTCGTCAGCAGATTCTATACACGTTCTCGACAGTGACCGCACAGCTGCTGCGGTCACAGAGGGTCGGCCCAGTGATGCCTCACGGCCGCAGTGTGCGGCCGATAGCTACGGCACTGGCATTCAGACAAGGGAGGGCTGGGCAGCGGGGCAGAGGGGCGATGGATGCGGGCGGCGAAGGGGAAGAGGATGTGGGCGAGCATGTGCTGGCTGTGGTGTTTGAGGGCAGCGGACAGCCCGTCTTCTTGTATATGCTCGACAAATGATTCAATCACGTATGCATCGTCTTGTCTGTCCACACAAGTCACTCACTGTATCCTGAGATCATGACATGGCCGTGAGCTTCGTCATCTGTCTTGATAGATAGAGCGACATTCTTCTGGCAAGAGAAGCTCTCTTTGTCTTGGACTTGTTGTACAGCGCCTTGAGATGACCCAGGTGTTCTGCATGATAGTTGATGTGACGATCGATCTTGATGGATGTGCCTCCATGTTTATGGAGCCGTGTGCTGACCTTTGACCCGATCAAATGAACTCATGTTTATGTTCTGAATTGCACAAGAGACAACCAACACACACATCGATGAGAGACACCAATACTGCGAAGATGCTGATATCCACACAACCTAATCGGCACGAAAGCTTTTAGTTTACCTGGATTTCGTGCGCCCCCATGATTTGCAGTTCCTGTTCCAAGAGGCGGACTTCATCAGTGAGGTGAGTATAGATGGTGTACTCGTGAGACGAATTAGCTGCTGGCTTTGCCCCTTTCCTCCTGTCAAGCCAAGGCGCACGCAATAACTAAATGGGCGCCCCGCCCGCCCCCATTTGTGTGTTCATCTGATCTGCCCAGTCACTTTTTGGTGTCGTCTGCCACTTGAACGCGATGCTCTTTTAGGACTTGTTCCAGCCCGCTCGGCAGCTCCTTACTCCAATCAACAATAGTGTCACTCTCTGGCAACAATAGAGATTTCGATCAATCAACAATAGTGTCCCCCTGTTGCCAAGGGCTTGTCATTCATCGACCAAAAATAGAGATGTTGCCAAGGGGGGAGGAATGGCACGGAATCGCCATTTTCTTCCGTCTGTGGTACCTGTCGGCATAAAGAGCCCAGTTTGCTCGCAGGTCAGTTGATGACCAAGCAGTCAGAGTGAATGGAGAGTCTTGTCCCTTACTCATAGGCGTGGGGAACAAAGAGCTCTTTGTCCTGCTGCAGCTCTTCCTGCACGCACGCGACAGCAGCACGGCGATGAGACGTATGTCTTGCCCTTCCCTTCCGGCTGCCTACTGTGTCTTTGAAGAGCATCGCTGTGCGATGGCTGGCGTACTGCCGCCTCATGCGCGGTAACCAGATGTGTTCGAGAGCCCAATCTGACCATGGAGGCCGCGACGTGCTCATCTTTCCCCGGCAATCAATATGTCTCTCTGGCTGCCTACCGTCTTCAAGGAGCGTGTTTGTGTTGAAGGCTCGTTTTCTCCTGCCCTTGCCTGGCCTGCTGCCTCCCTCCCACGTGCTCGCCATCATCTCGGCAACACTCACCCGACGATCGCCTCTTCTTCGCCTGTCATCGCCGCTGCCTTCGCCCGTCTTGGCGAAGACGTCCGGCAGCCTCACTGTACGCGAGGTGGGCATAAAGGGAGGCCGTGAGTCCAGGTCTCCCTTGCTTGTTGTTTGGGAGGGACGAGACGGCGAGGGCGGCTTTCTCCTGGGCGGTTTGTGGAAATTGGGGTGCGATATGCATGCGCGTCGAAGGAAGGCATCTGTGGTCGCCAGCTCTGACAGAGGCGGGTCAGCAGCCAGGAGGTGGACGGCGGAGGCCGTGGTGTGGGGCTCGATGGAGGACGGCCGAGGGGGTGAGGGGTGACACTTGCGATGGTCTTTCACGCAGGCCTGCGGAGAGGAAGGAAGAAGCAAAAGAGAGAATGAATCTTCTCGCTTAACGTATGCATGATAGATCTTCGCGGGGGTACCCACTCTTCTTTTGCTCTTGAGCGTGTCGGTGAGCTGTAGTGTGGTGGGATGATCCAGAGGCAGCACAAGCTTAGCGATCGACACGGCAGACTCATACAGCGACTGAGAATCACGCGAGGAAGGAGACACGTACATCATATCAATGAACATACACGTGCCACGTTCGCCCACCATTGTTTTGGATGATTCAAGCGACGCTGTTGTGGCAGCAGGAGACAGCGCCTCGAGCTCTACACACAGAGGAACAATCAAACCACAGTCAATCGTGCAGGCAGGCAGCAAGGCCGTCTCTCTTACCTCTTGCAAGGAGGAAACGCGAACGAGCCGCGGCGTCACCCTGAACAGCACAAACATCGACGCCTTCGGGTGCTGTGTCGGTCTGGCTTGCTGAGTAGGCCTGCCCCACCGCTTGCTCGAGGAGGCCCATGTCTGCCGCAGGGTATGCCCTCAATCGGTCCAGGACATAATCGGACTCCTGCATTGCAGCCCTGGCTTGATTCGCAGCCTCACGGTGAGCATCCAGGCCTGAGACAATGGTCATGCATTGCATGTGGCTGTATGCCTCGGTCGCTCACCCGACTCACCTGCCAAGAGCTGTGCGGCCTTCAATCGAATTCGTGCTCGTGCCGTCGTCGTCCATGGATGGGAGGAAACGGTGGCTGGGCAGTCCAGCGAGACCGTTACCGCTTTGTCGAGATATGTCAGGGCCCTCTCGAGGTCGGCGGGCGCTCGTTCGTAGAACGAAGAGAAAGAAACGTACAGTTGCATCAGTGACTGACAAATTGAGAGGCGCTCTCGGGCATCTGGCGCCTGGGGCTTCATGGGGCGCTCCATCGAGGGGAGAGGGCGCAGAAAAGGTCAAGAAAAAGTAGCTTGGACAACGGAGCACACGCCGCGTCAGAATCTACGGAAAAGAAAAAACGGTTGTGCAACGGCAGGAGATCTTCCAGTTTTAGCTCGCGGAGAGTCGCGCAACACGGTGCGTTTTCGGACACGCATTCGCCAAGAGGACGGACAAGCTCATTGTGTGTGGTTGGTGTGGCTGATGCTCAGATGGGCGCTGCGTCCGAGCTGGCGACGGTGCTGGTGAGCGAAGCAATGAAAGATACACTGATGCACACACACTTTAGCTATGGCGGTACAGCACACTGGTCATCTGCGTGTCTTTCTTTTCGCAGGGCACCAACTTCTTTGCTATCGGTCTGGGGTATGCCGTGTTGAAGCTCAACTATGTGACGTCCGAAGGCGTCAAGGGCATTGGCTTCATCGTCGGCGACCTGGCACTGCCCCTTCTTGTGTTCAGAGCGGTGACTGAGTGGACAGAAGAAACCGACGCAAAACGCATGATGGTGTGTGCCGGTCTGTCTGTGTGCAGGTGGCTCTGATGGATCTGGCGTCGGTGGACCTCGGCGTTCTCGCCGCATGCACCATCGGCAAGCTCATCGTGCAGCTTGCTGTGGTCATAGCCACAGTGCTGCTTGACCGCTCGCCCAGCAGGTGGTTGCGCGCCGGTCTGTTCGGGCTGTGCGTCACGGCCTCGAATGACTTTGCGCTCGGGGTGCCAGTGGTGATGGCCCTCTACCCTTTGAGGAAGTATCCCCAAAACATGATGGCTTACTTGACGGCTAACGCAGTGGTACGCAATCCGGCATCCATCCATCCAGCTGTCGTTGGTTCGTGCCATGTGTGGGTGGGGTGCTGTCAGGTGCAAACCATCCTGCTGAACACCATCGCATTCGTGCTCTTCGAGTACGGCAAGACAAAGAGGGAGGCGGCCGGTGGCCATGCAGAAGAAGAGAAAGCTGCCACCCCGATTGCCCCATCGGAGCCGTCCGAGCCCTCCCAGCTGCACTACGCCGACACCGAACATCCCCCAACTGAGTTTGACGATCATGTCCCCTCACAGACCTGCCCCCCCACACCTCTGCGCGGCGTCACGAACGTCACCAATGCGTCAGATGTGAAACCACGGTGGGCAGAAAGACACTTACCATACACGGATGGAAATGACGCCTTGACTTACGGGTATTGTATACTTCTTTATCGTGGTTAGGCTACGTTTGAAGAGTGAGATCTGCATTAGGCCGGCGGAGCTGTCGTCGTCAAGTCGGTCTTATGCGTCGGTGGTGCGGCGGATGCCGATAAGGCAGGTGGAGAGGTTCACCACCGTGGTGGACCCCACCCCACATAAGTCTAAGCGGCTCGCAGTCAAAGTCGCCTCCAACCTCGTCACGAATCCGCTGCTGTAAGGGTGCACCCAGCACAGACGGATACTCAGACGTGTGGACGTACGTGTTGTGGTGCTTCTGTTGTCAGCATAATGATCGTCGTGGGATTAGCGTACAAAGGTCTGTTTGGCTGGACGATTGAAGAAACGCCCGCCGGGCTGATGCAGTTGCCGGTGGGGCTGCATGAGACCGTGGAAATGACCACCAGCCCATTCGCCTTCTGCGCCCTCTTCCTGACCGGATGTTCGGTGGTCAACAACCTGGATGCCATGATCAGGCCACAGCAGGTGAGTTGTTGGATGGATGGATGGATGGCCTCAATTGTCTCTCTCGCCAGAATGCGTTTGCGTGTGTGTATGTCTGTGTGGAATATATGGGCCGTGGTGTGCTAGGTGGTGCTTCCGGTCTTCTTGGCGGTCTTGAAGATTCTGGTCTCTCCCGTGCTGATGCATGCCTTCGTGCCGCTCCTCAGCCCCAATCTGAGCCCTGAGGACAAGGCGCTGTTCTCCGATTTCGCACTCCTGTACGGATCCATACCCACCAGGTACGCAACACAGACAGACAGATAGACAGACAGACAGACAGACACGCAGCCAATCTGCCGGTGTCTGTCTGTGTCGGTGGGTGGGTCAGTTCTGCGCCGGTGGTGTTTGCGGCCATCTACAAGATCGGCGAGGATGTGGCTGGTGCGGCGGTCATCCTGGGCCTCTTCTTGGGCGGTCCGCTGATTTTCCTCTCGTCAATCCTCTTCGGATCGCAAGACGTACGAAAGCATTGACGACACACACGAAACAAACGCGACTAGCCTCCTTTTACTCTCTGGTCAATCACCAGACTGAGCACCTGATCGAGAGCATATGGGTGGTGAGCGAGTCCTTCGCCGTGGCGTCGTTGGTGTTCGCATGCCTCATGCTGCTCATATTCCTGGTCCTGCGGTCCACCGAGGGATGGCTGCAGTTCCCACGCGTGCTCATCATCTTCTACGCCGCATCGGTGGCTGCCGCGGGGGCGCTCACATGCGCTCTGTCGTCAGCCACCAACCACTGCGAAGATGTGGACAGGACGGATGGGCGGCTGATGGTCATGTACTGGCTGACATCGTACTTCACCCAAATGGTATATAAGTGGGTGGGGAGGAGAGGGGACGCCGAATTCACGAGAAAATGAGTGTCCGTGCTGTGTGCTGTGTGCTGTGTGTGCAGTCTCGTTGGTGGGTGGCGGGGATCTGCTTGAACGTGGCTGTGGTCCAAAAGCTCGGCCTCGACAGCGCACTGGTCCTCTTCTGGCCTACAATCGTTGCCGTCATCACCATCCCACTCGGTAACATACAGGCAACACCACACCCACACTGATCGTTTCAGCCAGCCAGGGTCCGCCTGTTTGTTTGCAGCGACAAACCTCCCCTTCCCCCTTCTGGGCGTGTTCGTCCCCAACCCACCTATCGAAGGTCATCCACCCACCGCCTCCCTCCCTCTCCCGACAACACACTCTCGTACCCATCCTGTCCTGTGCGTATGTGCAGGTCAGCCGTGTCAGTTCTGGTTCGGGCGCAGCGAGCAGTATGTCGAGGCCGCCCTCACCATAGTCTTGTTCCTGGTCCTCTGCGTGGCGCTCTTCATCTCCCTCGCCTCCCGCGACCGCATAATGAAGACCGGCCGGGCTATCGGCCTCAGGACACTCGGCAGCCTGTCCCAGACCTCAGAGAGATCGGTTTTCACCACCAGGCGGCGCACAGTGCCGGTCCCCTCTCTGTGGGCACGAGTCGACAAGACCAAGGGCGATACCGCTGATGCGGTGAGGCATTAGAGGGGGGAAAGAAATATAGAGAGAGGAGAAGACCGTTGCCCGTGTGATTGCATCCATGTGTGTGTGGTTGTTGCCTTTCAGGACGAGTGTGAGATGCGCGAGCGCAGCACGACGGGCGGCCACGGTAGCACGACGATCGGCCATAACCGCACAACGATTGGCCATGACAGCACCATCGCCCCGAGGCCAGCACAGCCGTGGAGAGATGGCGACCTCGTTTTTCCCGCCATGGTATCCATGCAGCCAGGCAGGATGGCAGGCATGTCCTCCTGATGGTATTCGCTGTGTGTGTGTGTGTCTGAATGCAGGTGTTGGGTGTGGTAGGGGGCATTCGGTTTTTCCTGCTGGGCATCTACAACTGGGCCGAGCTATCGACGGCGGGACCGAGGTCGGGATCGCTGCTGCAGGTACGCAGAGAGAGAGGGAGAGGAAGGGGGAGGTGGAGGCGTGAGGATCCTGGGCAGGCATTGCATGCGCCGTCCGTCGTGTGTGTGTGTGGCAGCTGGCGTTGATCACGATGATGTTTGAGGCCGGCCAGGGGCTGCTGCTCTTCCTCCTCTTCGCCTTTCAGCAATCCGCCAGTGAGGATGAATGAGCCAATGACTGACCCGTGATGGGAGCACCACTGGGTTGGGTTGGCACCTCTCTGTGTTCTCAGTCCAGAAATACAGGGGCATCTACAGCTGCTTGGAACGAAACATCAGGAAGGTGCGTCGGCAAACCACCCACCACAGGCACCACAGGCACCACATGTACCCTCCCTCCTCATGCGTGTGTGTGTGTGTGCAGCTGATGTATCGTATTGAGTCCCCACCGGTCGACGTCAGCTCCCCCCTGCCGGCCTCCTTCGTGCCGCTGCTGGATGCACTGGACGTCAGCTGCAACAACCACCTCGAGCTCGACAACACGCACATACACGGCTGCACATTCACATGCGCCGGAAGAGCAGAGGCAGAGGGGAAGGAGGACAGGAGGTGGGCGAGATGCCCCCTGGTGCCCTGTCTGCGGCGGCGGGCGTACGTGCACTGCTTCTCGGGGGTGGAGATGGTGGATTATCTGGTAGGCGTGGCTTGTGCATGTCTTTCGTGCCGCGTCGCTTTGGATCTGTGCATAGCGATTCTCTTTCATTGCGTGTCGCCTGCTGTCAGATCGACTTTGACTTCGCATCCGGCAGGGAAGAGGGGGTGGCGATCGGCCGAGAGCTGCTGCGCCTCGGTCGGTGAGACAAAGAGAGATGCAGGCCTCTCTCTGCGCGCACCCGACAGCTCTCTCTCATCTGCCACTGTCCCTCTCTCTTCATCTTGTGTCTCTGTTCGTTCAGGCATCATATCGCACGTAATGAAAGAGCACGACTTCTACGACCTCAATCTGTTCTACAACTACACCCGGCCGTCGCCATCGCGGCCCTTCTACGACGACAGCCCCCCTCCCGCCCCGCCCCCATCCATGCCGGCCTTCTCGCGAGAAGGCAGCCGCGCCAACGAAGGCGGCGGCAGACGCATCCAATTTGCCGACATGCATCATCACGGGGGCGGGGCTGGGGCTGGTGGGGGTGTGGCGATGAACGGGGGTGGAGGTCATGGGCACCTCCCGTCCATGATGAGTCGATACAACACGACTCATACGATTAGTGACAATGGGGAGGGCAGGATGGCCGCGGAGCATCGGCAGGGGGGAGATGGCGGTGGGGATGGCTCCAAGCAGCAGCAACAGCTGCAGCGTGGGATGACGTGCCTTTAGTGGATTGGTGAATGGGTGGTGGGTGCATGGGTGGGTGGGTG